AAAGGTATCTGGTGGAGTGAGTCATTAAGGCAACCTGGCAGGGGGTCTTCATGAGGAATTTGAGGTGTGAATGGTCATTAACCCCCCTGGAGGTATTCCTGAGTGTAGCTCGGGGTAAAGTTTCAGCACCACAAGCGGTAACCCCGAGCTACACTCGGGAATACCCTGCAGCGTTGCTCCGGGATCCCTTCTGCCAGCACTTACCTTGTCCTTTGCTCCCACGATGTCTCCCCTGCAGCGTCCCCGGCCACCTCCTCCCGCTGATGCCGGCAGTGTTCAACCTTTTTTTGCAAAGCACACTTTTTTCATGAAAAAAAAGCACGAGGCACAACCACCTGTCTTCTGGGTTCCATTCCCTGCGACGTCGGGACGTACAGGGGACGTAACCGGCAAGAGGGAAATTAAAAAAAGTCAAAAAGTGACATTCACTAAATACACTAAAATCACACAGTAGAACATTACTGTATCAAAGCATTCATTTCACATACATTTTGTCCTGTGCCCTGCCTGCATTTTTACTGTTCTTTCTGCCTGGAAACTGAGAAATGTCCATAAAAAGCGTCCCTTTAGGTCAAAAGTGGTTTAGACCAGCTAGAGAAGCAGCCGAGCAATAGTAAATTAGAACCACTTGCAGAATTGAGTGATAATGATTAGTGGGGAAATTTGTTATTAGACACTGAAAATGATTCTGCGACTAAGCTCAGTGATGTGCGAACTTGGCGCTATATTTCAAATTTCAGTGGTTTTGGTTTGATTACATTATTGAATTAAAATTATTATATTATTTTTTATGTTTATTAAATTATAATTTATGATTTCGTGTTTCAAATTTTATCATACCCGGGATATTTACTAGACTCTTTTTCGGACAGATTTCAGTGAGTTATTCCTGTATATTACAGGCCTACAATAAAAACTACATATTTCCATGCAAAAAAATGTACTTCTTTGAGCACAGAAATACTGACATAATCAGACCGCTAGGGAGGTTAACATATCTTTTGTTTCCAAGGGTGGGCGAGGTCTGAGGTGTTAATTGGTCATTACAATGTGTGACAAGCTTGGTCCGGAACATCCTGTGTTCAGTGTTTTGTCCATTTGAGTACCTTTAAAATGCTTTGCATGCATTTTTCATGATGAAAAAAGGCTCTGGAAAGCACTGGGAACTGGAAGAGTTAAAAAAATATTTCAAAGTCTTATAAACGCGATTTTCCGCGTTTAGCCGCATTTACAAGCGGTTTGTGTTTGAAACGCTGATACAATCGACTGCTGAACCCACGTTTTCTGTGTTCAAGAAAACTACTGTAAACTCAAATGCCTGTAAAGGACTGTAAACGAAGATGTGTACATGGACACATAAGAAAACATTAGGGTGAGTTCAGGGGCTGCTGAAAAAAAACACTGAACAGCTCCTAAACGTGAGTTTATCAGTTGCAGTGTACATGAGCCCTAAGAAAACAAAACCGCAACAATAAACAGGAATCAAATGCAAAGTGCACAATGAATAACAAATAACTATAAGCATAATCAACCTGTAGTCAGACACCAGCACATAATATAGCAAATTTAAATTGTCGGAATCAAAAAATGTAAATAAAAATAAAGAAGAAAGAAAAAGAGCAGAAAAAAAGGAAGTAAAGGAGGGTCAGCCAGGAACCCATTAAGGAATGGAGAGGCAGTGAATCCATGGATCCCAAGTACTGTTGAACTTTGAGACAGTATTATTAAGAATACAAGTGAACTTGACATTAATCATTATCCAATGAAGTTTATTTTTGACATAATCAAGTGGTATCACAGATCACTTCCAACTTTTAGCTAACGTAATTCTAGCAGCCGGGAGAAAGTAAAGAATCCGTTTGACCGATTTCTTGGAGATACCCGAGGGTAACTTGTCAAAAAGTTATGCGGGGACCTATGATTATTCACTCCAGTCAATGTATAAATAAAATTAAATATACAAATCCAAAATCTAATTACCACAGGACATTGCCACCAAATATGGCACATAGTTCCCTCCTGCCTACAGTGCCGGAAACAGGACGGTGACGTGGTAGAGTACATTTTCGCAAGGCGTGTAGGGACCAGGTACCAGCACAGGAGTGTTTTATAACTAGATTCAATAAGTGTAGTATCAATAGAAATTTTGGACAATGCATAAGCCGTATCTTGCCCATCAGTTCTAAGGCGACATGCAAGTCCCGTTCCCCCTGCATCATATAAGGAAGCTTGGTTGTTGGATCAATAAGGGAAGTGTATATATAGTAGATAATCAACCTTTCAGTATACCATAAACTCGATGAGAGTTCGAAAGTGGTGAATATTAAAGGTTCCGTTAATGGTTTAAAGCGGAGTTCCACCCAAAAGGGGAAGTTCCACTTTAAAGATTGGTCCCCCACTCCCCATTAAGGATTGGCACCTTTGGGGAGCGGGGGGGGGGGGGGGCGGGTACCCGAATTTGACAGGTACCCACTTCCGATGCGATCACCTAGGCAGTCAGAAACGGAAGTTGTCCTCCTACCCTCCCTTCCCAAAGTCTTGTGGGACACATGACAGGTCTTCCAAAGACGACAGGGCCATTAAGGAAGCGCAGCGCTACTCACGCATGCGCATTGGGCACCCGGCTGTGAAGCCGCAAGTTGTCACAGCTGGATGCCCACACTGAAGATTCCGGTGCCTGGAATACAGGACGGCTGGTGAAACGGGCTGCGGCGGGGGCAACGCTGGATCGTGGGACAGGTGAGTGGCTATTTTTTAAAGTCAGCAGCTACAGTTTTTGTAGCTGCTGACTTTTATTTTTTTACAGAGTGAGTGGAACTCCGCTTTATGTTTGGATTGGATAAAGGACACAATTTGATTATATCGAAAGATTTCACTAGGGGGTAGTTGGTGCTTATCTTGAACATATGGTGAAGAATATAGGCGATCCCCATCTAAATTAGTCCCCGATACGTATAAAGCCCTTACTGATCCACCACTGAAATAAAGACGGCACAAGCCCAGGTATAAATTCAGGATTACAAAAAACAGGAGCTAAATGTGTATGGAGGGAATATAAGGAATTTACGGATGCGAAGGCTGTCCCGTATTGTTAAAGAATAAGATAATGTAGGGCATAAAATGGGAGGACGCAGTCGATTGGGAAGCCACATAAGAGAGCCGATAGCGTAAGGATGACGAAAGGGCTTCAATACTAACCCATTGGGGTTAAGGACCCTTGGCTGTAGTGTAGGAGAGCTGCATTATCTGGGCCGCATGGAAATAGGTCAAGAGGTTGGGGGAGTCCCAAACCACTATGTTTTTTTTCTGGGAATACAATGTTGAACCAATAGATCTGAAAAGGTTTTATAATATTTATGGAGAAGACCATCAGGTCCTGGTGATTTATGAAGAGCTAAAGTTTTAACAACTTGCTGGATTTTTTCACTAGTGATAGGTTGGTCCATGAGGTCTCTATGAGCCTCCTGGAGAGATGGGAGAGTCAAAGATGTAAAAAAATGATCAATAGATGGGGAGGCGTTTTCTCGGGGTTGACGATAAAGGTCAGTATAAAAGGAATTATATTCTTTAAGAATTTTTCAAGGTTCTTGGGACACGTGACCAGTCGATAATCTAATTTTAGGGAGAGCTATATGAGAATGCCGGGGAGATAGTTTACGTGCCAGCAGGAAGCCTGATCTATCCCGCCACGTGAAAAATTTGTGGTTTGCCCATCGTAACTGTTTCTCTGCCAAAGTAGTGAGACATAAATCAGGTTCCGTGCGGGCAAGGTCAGGTTTAGCCAACAAGTCCGAGTCAGGGTTTTTTTTATGTTGGGCAGCAAGAACACTATGCTTTGGATTAAGCCGAAATCAATTCATCACAAGCCCTTTTAAGTTGGGAGGATAGTTGAATAAGAAAGCACCTAACTGAAGCCTTATGGGCCGCCCAATTTATAGCAGGATTTGTGTCCTCTGCTTTGTTTCAAAATAGAATTTCAGATGAGTAGAAATATCAAGACAATAGGATTCGTTGCTCAAGAGAGATTCATTAAGGCACTAATGAGGGTTAGCCATCCTAGTCGTCAAGGTAGAGACAGTCTTAGCAGTGAGCAATTTAGGTAGCAGCCTCGAGAGGAGAAACACATGATCAATGCGGGAATAACAATCATGAGCTCTAGAGAAATTAGAACAATCTCGAGAAGTTGGATTAGCCTCCCTCCAAGAGTCGACCAAATCATAGCGAAACAATAACTGAGCAAACTTGCGGCTCTGCCTGGATGGGGACCTAAGCATGGCAGCACGAGACCTGTCCAATATCTGGTCTAATACTAAATTAGAATCTCCAGCCATTATAACATCGCCCTCAAACTCTGAAGCCAAAGAGAGCAGAGTAGGGATTGGAAGAACCCCACCTGATTAGCATATGGTGTGTAATAGACCAGAAAGGTGACCACATTTTCTCTCAGATGCCCCTTCACCAAAAGATAGCATCCCTCCCAATCCTTAATTACTACATTACATTGTTTAAAGTCATATATTTGTTTCTCTATTCACCTACTGAGCTACACTTAGTACCTGTCTTAATATGGTAGACCTTATGGTTCCATAGTGATTGGGAGTAGTTTGTTAGTGCTCTGAAGGAAGTGTAGTTCAATGTTGTAATAAAATAGAATCCGGGGTTCTAAGAGTGATGATGGTACACTAGAAAAAATAATCCTATGTTTTTATATTTGTTATATCCAACTTTGGCTTCCTGTGGGTGCCATTGTGCAGTCTCCATGCTCAGCTAATGCAGAGTATGTCCTCTATATATAACAATTTGTGGAGTAATTTGTGGCTAAGGAAGTGTCTCATTTGTAAGCCTGCAGATCATGCTTAGGAAGAGTTGTAATACAGTAGCTGTGATATTAAGATTGATACTAACAGAAACCGTTATTTTATGTATTTTAGATGTTGGTTTGCATAACTTCAACCACCACTTGAGAATCCAGGTTAATACTCTCGTAGTGACGCGTCAAGATGAGCAGCATCACTCAGCTCTTTGGTGATTTGTGTGAAGTCCACATGACTGGATTCCCATGGAATATTGGAATAGGCGGCAAAAAGAGAAGCAAGAAACAGACCAAACAATGTCTCAAGAGGCTGGCATATGACACACTGTTCATCCACTTGTTCCAAGAAGAAGCTCGAAAGTTGCAGCAAAGTTCCAAAAAGCTTCCAGTGAAAAATAAAATGCTGCTGTTGTCCTTTAATTTGCGTGTTAGTGACATGAACTCTGAGGCAGACCGACTAGAGGAGCTCTTGGAAACAATAGAAAGGTTTAGTGGGGAACAGTTCACAAATTTGTGTTCTGTTCTTGAGCTCTTGGCAGATCTTTCAGGCACTGGGCCACCCCAAATCCTTCCACGAAAAAGGGACATCTTTAAAAACAACAAGTATGTTGGCAGGAGGCCGCAGTACCAGGAATTTGACTATTATGATGTTAGTGTATTTGAAGCGGACATCGGAACCTTTCTGGCATATGAAGAATTTGATATAAGTAACACTGTCCACAGTACACTTCAGCTCATGGAGGCTGCACCAGGCAGTGGTCTTCCAGCCACAGGCCTTTTCTCTCAGAACTCCACAAGTGATAAATTTGAGAAAGAGACTCGTGTGTCACTCTTTGGTGCCCTTGTTCATACCCGAACCAATGATATGGATATTAAGCTAGATCTGCCACCTGTGCCAGATAGTGCTGACCTGTCTGGGCTTGCCATCAAAGTAAGTATGCAATTTGCTCTGTACCAGTGTGCTTTTGGATAATTCATACAGTCGTCTTCAAAATATATGAGGCAAACCCCACAAAGTAAGAGTGGAATATATTCTATATCTTAAGAAAACTTTACTTCTCAGTGAACTTCAGTGTGTAGTGCAAATGTAGATTGGATGTAGCTCTCTGCAGTTATTTGGTTTTAAATAAACCTGACATTTAGGTTATAGATGACTTTACCAACAGATATCTCTTAGGGCGGGTGTCAGCAACCTGTAGAATGCGATCTATCAGTAGATCGTGGCCAGGTGACTGGTAGATCGTGGTTTGGACTTGCTGATCCGTCATTCCAGTGCATCAAACAGTGCAATGCAGAGGGACTACTTGTAAAGTTTGAGCTGTACTAAGGAACAAGCCGCATAAGCCAATGCCTCTTCTGTAGTGTTGGCTTCTGTCCCATGCGGAATGATGCCAACTGCACTCCACCTCTTATCCTGGCTAGCGGTCTCCAGAGTGGTTCCAGCAGCAGAAAAGAAGAGATCGCCAAGTCACTGTGAAGAAATACACTGGGCATAATAGTATAGGGCTGCTTTCACACTGATGAACTGCTATTTACCCACACTGCGGTGCAGTGCAGTATCCTAGCTTTCCTGCCGATTTCCTGTGCTTAGCTATAGACATCTATTATATCCTGCGGGCTTAGTGCATTTTCTGAAAGCGCACAAAAACACCTGAATGCATGTGTTTTGGTGCACTTTCAGAAAGTACACCAAAACTCTATGGAAAGTCACAGATGCACTGCGCTGCACCCGCGGTCCAGGTAAATCGCAGCACCTCAGTGTGAAAGTAGCCTTATAGGGGGCTCAGAACAGTAAGGGTTCATTTGCAGTGTGGGGTGTGGTAAAACCCCATAGTTAAGATGTTTTTACCACCCCTACCCCTGTCTCAATCGCACCCCTTTTAGCTGTACTGGCCAGGGGTGTACACATTTTGCAGCCACAGCAGACAGGAATACTCCCTATCATTTAGCGCAAGCATGAACCATTCAAGTGAATGAGGCTGCTCCACAAGCGCCCTGCAACCTTGGGCAGTACAGCAAAGCACAGTACAGTTAAAGCAGGCACCGTGGTGTTGCTTTCTCACCATTTGCTTTAACCCCTTGAACCGCGCAGCAGCGTGCAGTTGTGGGATTCTTGCAGAGTGACCACATTTACTTGAATAGGTCACAATTGGCATGCAGTAGCACCCACCAAAAGCCACAGGGAGAGTAATTCCTGCTGTGACTTGTAGACCTTTGGATGCTGCCTCATCAGTTAAAGAGGGTAGGGATTGGGGTGTGAACGAGCCCTAAGGGTGCAGCTGCTGAATGCAACTAAGGTCTCATTCACAAGTGCAGCAGACCCTGCTGCTCCTCCGAAAATTGATCCCAGTGTGTTTGACAGGTGGTGAGGAGGCGATATGTTGCCTCCTCATCACCTGATGTAAACCCATGATTGTCGATTTCAACATGGTAGTACGGCAATTAGAGGTTTCAGGTGTAAGTAGGCAACACTGTGCCTGGTGATCTTTGACTTCTCCCATGTTGTTCAGGGAGATCTCTACCTCCTTGAAGGTTGCCTACCCCTGCCTTATGGATTTCTGCATTGTTGTATCTCCTTTGAATTTGTCTCCTGTCCTCCACTCTACACCACACACTTAGGACGCCCATAAGGATTAGAGGCCAGTCAGGCATTCAAGCAGAATCTGACCACAGGCAGCAAATCTTGACACCGCTGCAGAATTCTTCATAAACATACACGATCAACTCTGCTAATCTAATTCGCTTATATGAATATAGAGAAACCAGGGTAAGGAAATGGGCACTGCAGATAAAGCATGGGATATTCACCTGACCTGGCTGATTGTGACTGTCATTTTATGTCTTTGTCAAATGGAATATCTGAAAAACAATAATAACAAAAGAGGGGAGGGCTGTAGAAACTCTCTTTGTTACTAAACATATAGCCCAGAGTTTATAGCTCAAAGTGTCATTAAAGTGTCCTGGCTGCCATGCTGGTTCTCTAGCTTCAGTGCTTTTAGTGTCACTGTACTAGAACAAGTCCGTATCTTCATACTTGCTCTAGATGAGTGACAACAACAATGTGGAAGCAAGAAGGTCAACATAACAACCAGTCAACTAGCACTTTAAATGACAAGTTAACTTAAATAAATGCACTTTTTTTTGCAGGTAAAAGAAAATGTGCATTTACTTTTTTTAAATTTTTTTTTGTAATAGGACCCTGAAAAGCATTACACCTGTGATCAGCAGATCACGGGTGCCATGCAGGACTCTTACAGACTGTCAGTGTAAGCTATCTGCCCTACATTGTACGGATGCAGGACTCCTACGGACTGTCAGTGTAAGCTGTCTGCCCTACATTGTATGGGCAGGCAGTTTCACACTGACAGGAAGAATCAATGAACTGTCTAGAGCGCTCAACAGCACCCTGGTAGTTCATTGAGAACTACAGGCCAACAGCCCCAAAGGCTGTCAGTATTTGTAGTGTTCCCTTTCGCAGAACTCTGTGAATGAATGATGCGGGCGGAGCCCAGCATGACCACGTTTTTTTTTTTTTTTTCATTTTAATTTTGACAGTGAGCTGTCAAAACAGGGGGGGACCGGGGTGGTGCAGGGGTCAGTGCTCTAGTAACATGTTACACCTTAAATAAGAGTGAACTTATCCTTTAGAAATCAGAGGTCAACACTAGCAGCTGTGGTTTTTCTCTCATGAAAAGGCTTCCTTTTAAGTCATTTAGTTAAGCTGATCATGTGCATTTTTACCAAAAAGACTGAGGTATGTTTCCCTAATATGTCAAGAATACCATTAATTCCATTTAGTTCCTAGTGAGTGTGTTATAACTTATTTCAGTCATGTGAAAATGTTTACTTTTTTCTGCTTTTCAGGTTCCACAAAGCATTGATCAGTCAGAAGATGAGGGTTTCCAATCTGCATCAAACATGACTCCTGATTCTCAGTCAGAACCCAGTGTAACTCCTGACATTGATTTGTGGGAGGCCGTCCTCACATATACCCCCAGTAAACGTCGTTGTTGGGAAAGGATAGGCTTGTAAGTTTTAATGCTATACTATACACATTACAATCACTGTACAATCAACCTTAGAAATGAAAATCTCTACTATGAAATGAAACACAATTTATGAATGGAGAAGATGGAGCTTTCAGTCATCCCCCTGTTCTTTATTTATAGGTTGTAGTTTATTCATAGGAGTGATAGTACAGCTTCAATGTATAGAGGAGTTGGGCAGAATCGGTACGCATAGTCGGGCACTCTTGATGAGTGCTTGTAATAACTCCTGCAGCGCTATTAACCCGAGCTGCCACCTGAGGTTTACAGTGGTGGTGTGGGGAACAGAGGAGGAAATTTTCTACTAACCCTGAAGACTACTGCACAAGGGACACATCCCACTAGTAGCAAGATATATTCCTTATGCTGATTGTTTTTTTTTTTGTACTAAACTTAGTCACTTGTGTATAGTCCATCTAACACTAGCTCTCCACAGGTTAACAACGCTGCTATTCAATTGTTGGCTATGTTGCTCCTCCATAGATACAGTGGAAAAGTGAGCATAGCAACCCTAAAAGGCCCCCTTAGCCGGCTTGAATTTCAAATTCCTGCTGAATTTGGTAAATTCGAGCTTTGGGTGGCCTTGCAAGCACCACTCAGCTCGACAAAAATCACTTTAAATATTTGACTAAGTTGAGTGGAAAAATATTGGCCATCAGGCAACTGCATCCTATCAAATGAGTAAAATGCAAGTTTTGTACACCAGACATCTGAATAGAAAGCATCATATTTGGCTTACAGTACATTAGGAAAGATATCACAGGGTTGTTGACTATGCTTGTTGTGTTTTTACATCTCATGATGCATGAAAGTAGGTTTTTCCCGATCTCTAAATTCTAAGACATATAGATAGTACTTTGAGATTCACCATTTGTCATATATCTTTGCAGAAGAAAAGTAAGGAAACATAACCTGTTACAGGGTCTCTGGGACCCATGAATGAAAGCGATCTTTCATATGATTATTTCTATGTTTTGGGGGTATATGTTACAGGTTAGCTTTGATATGAACACAATAATACCAACATATTTTCTTCCTTAGTCCTCCAGGTAAAAGAGAAGATCCCTATCTCACAGAGGCCGGCCGAGAAGCATTTGATAAAATTTATAAAATTTACGAGGGAGGTTTGCAGATGCTCAGTAACACAGCTATACAGTCAGCACCTCATGTGATGCTTAAAGAGCCTGAGCTGGTGAAGGATGTTCTCAATGTTCTTATTGGTGTTGTGTCCTCTACCTTCTCCTTCAACCAGGTAAATCATACTCATGAATGTGTCTTTAAGTATCTGTTATGCAAATTATGCCAAACTGGCAGGACTTAGCAACTCATCAATCATGGGCAAATGATGGGTAGACCCTTCCTTGCAGACCCCCAGAACCTAAATGAGAGCAGGGACTGCATTTACTGGAACCAATTCCCTGTATTTTCCTTGTACAGTAGCTGACAGCTAGGTTCTACTCCTCTCCCTCCTGCTGGCATTTAGTTGCTGCAAGAGGAAAATACAGGGGATTGGTTCCAATGAATGCTGCCCCACTGCTCCTCCTATCCAGGTTCGCCATCCCTCTGTTGCCTGGGCTCCCCCTCAGTGCTGCCAGCTTCATCTCATATCCTCTGCTCTACTGCCAGTTGCTGCAGGGGATAGTTTCAGGATGGTGAGCAGGGGAAGGGAACAGTAAATATGTAATTTACCAGTCCCTTTCTTTTCTGAATGAACTCCGTGATTAGTACCGATTACTCACTGTGTTCATGCATAACTTAAGCATAGTAAACTGTGTTTACTATGCTTCAGTTTGTGAATGAACAGCTGTGAAGCTGTGTGCGGCCTTCTGATTGTTGGGCACCAGGTAAATACAACTAGCACAGCTCCTGATGCACCAATGCACTTAAATTGTAAACAAAGGATTCCATTGTGCAGATAGAGAGTTATTTGTATACCATCTCCTGAAATGTTAGCCACATTCTAGTGACAGGGTTTAGGTGTGATAAGCAGCAGTAGCTGCTGCTCTGAGCTCACAGCTGTGGGGTGAGAGTTGGCCTCCTGTACAGCCCTTGTCTCATGGGCTTGTCAAAAGGTGATTTGCCTGCATAGAGCCTTGTAGAGTCCGTCAGTCCTGCCCTATTGCAAAACGGAGTGCTGAAGAACTTGATGAAGATAAAAGAAAATAGGTTCTGAGGGGTCGTGAGTTTATTTACAATTAATGTGAGTAAAATTGATGATTTTAACTGCAACTCTGTGCCCCTTCAGAACTTTGCAGCATGTTGCAACAATGCAGTCCATTAATTTTGAATGGGTTGTTAGAGTACCTTAGCACACTAAAAGAACACATGCCTTTTTTTTAATGTAACACACCACAATGCACAAGCAGTGTGCTCCATTGTCCAGTACTGTAACAGTGTGTTGGGGGCCCGTCAGTACTAGGATACTTTGAAATTTGCTGTACCAGGTGTTAATGCAAAATACATGTTTTTTCTTCTTTTTAATACTAACCTATTGTGTGGCTCTCTGGACATGTTGGGGGGGGGGGGGGGGGGGGGGGGGGGGTTGCACTTGAGGTCCCTTATATTATTTTTTTACCAAGATGACGACCAGTGACCTAGTAGGCAGTGTATGCTTGCTTTTTCATATGGGCTGTTTTTCATCTTTTCTCTTAAATATCACTGCATACAGAAACTAGAAAGTTATCAAGAGAAATTGATATTTGTATGTTTATTATTTGCCTTTTTTTTTTTTGCAGTCTACTCAAGTCTTTGTAGTTAAGCAGGGTATCTATGTATCTGGAACTTCCCCTGAAAACATAGCAAATCTGTTGGCACAAGTGGCTGAATATGGGACTTGCTATACCAGGCTGAGTCATTTCTCATTGCAGTCTGCTCTGGACTCCTCACAAAGCAAAGGCCTTGTATTTCAGGTACTGTGAAAGTTCTAATATTTTTATGTCAGACAACAAATGAAATGCGTTGCCATTTTCCTTACGCTCCACCCCCATTAAGTGAAGAAACGTTTAAATCAAACACTGGCCCCTCCAACCTTGCCTGTTTTCAGTGTCTTTCTAGGAGGTAGGGTCTCTAGTTACCCTTGTCTCTAATACTTAGCATATGTATTTTGGTTTTCATTATCCTTTGTAAGATGGGAACATCAGGAATACAAAATTGTCATTGATTTTTCCATTGTTGGCTATTGTTTGTCTGGCAAACAACATTTAACAGTAGGAAGGAACCTGGTCACTGCCTCTCAGCCATCTCTTTCTGCCATGAGTACTCCTTCACAGTTGTCTTGCTCCTCTCAGGTCTTGCCTGTGGATGTTGCCCCTGAGAAGTCACTAGGTGTGCTTTCTGATTCTGCAGTTTCTTTCCTGTCAGGCAACAGAGTGTCACTGAGGATCCCATCATTCTCTTTTTTTATGTACTTAGCAGAGGGAATGTTAGGATGATTCAACCCACTTGCTTTGACATATCCTACATGTAGAAGTGTAGTGCTGCCTTTTTTCCAGGTTCCACAGTAATACTGTCAGGATATGGGCCTGTGAGAGTAGCACCATGGTGCACAAAATGCCCAGCTTGCAATAGTTATGAAGACTGACTGGCCAGCCATATGACTGAAACGTCCCATCCAAAGACAGGTAGTTTCATTAATATAAAAAAGCAGCACACAACGATTGCCTTACTTATAAAAAAAAAAAACATGTGCTTCCCCCGAATATCTAGGTGAGAATCACTCTGGTGTCCAAACTGTGGCCTTGGACCTCAATCCGACAGAAATATGGGTTTACCTTATCTAGACTCTCATTAGGCCAGTATGGAAAAATATTTTTTAGACAGGGTTCCAAAAGAAACTGGCTTGGTTTATTTATTAAACATTATTTTACTTTTTTCTTTTCTGTTTGTCCCTAAGTATATTATTTTGTTGTACGTTAGACTTGATATCGGTCCCAGATCTAAGCTATACATTTATTCTCTTACTGGATGGTGCTACAATCTGGGGAATGTTTATGAATTTCAGGCAGATATCCTAAAGTAAATCTTACTTGTGTTTTGGTTTCAGGCTTTTAAAAGTGGCCTCAGAAAATACTTGCAGTACTATCGTGCATGTGTTCTGTCAACTCCAAATACACTATCTCTTCTCACTATCAGCTTCCTCTTTAGAAAACTTGGGCGCCAATTAAGGTATTTACGTAGGCTTTTTGTTTGCTAATGTGCACTAATGTTTTTTATGAATATGTTATATATTAACAAATGTGTATTTCTCTCATCTAGATACTTAGCAGAACTTTGCTGCATTGGGACATTGGGGAATGGGTGGCAACAGGGGGAACAACTTTTCATTTCCTACAGTAAGTATAACTAAGTTAAATACTTTCTGAACAAGGTATTGCCAAGAGCGGTTCTCATTGTCTTTAGAACCCATTCTTGTGATTTTTGTCTCCTTTCTTTCCTACTTTTGATGTCTTTGCTTCTCTGTGTTGTGGGATTCATTGGAGGTAACTCTTTTCTGATTGACACAAATTGAGCAAAGTAGGGAGAACAAATTCAAAGGAGCCCTAGTGCATGTATGATAAGTATCCAGATGAAACTCCATAATCACTTCTTGGCCCTCCACCACTTACAATTGTGGATTCTGGAACCGCTAATTGTCACTGACAGCTCTATGCCCTGAATTAATTTCCGTGGCTCAAGATCATGGACTTGAGAACAAATAAGAGTTTCCTGCAGAGTTCCAGCAGCCATGATGGAGGAGAGTAAAGATGATATATGTTTGAAAGAAGGGAGCAAAAAAGACAGTTTTGTAGATTAAGCACTGGAGGTAACATTTAAACCTTCCTACCTCATTGTTGAGAGTAAGTATGTGGGATACCAAGGGTATCTTCATTTTCAATATAATAGGTTATGCTGCCACCTTCAGGAGACTGGAAACTGGCAAAAATACAAAATCCCCTTTTAGGCATAACCCCTCCCATCTAGGCATGGCTTAGTTTTTGCTTGTGTCTTAGGTGATGGTCATGCCTGTGTAGTCTATGTACAAAAACAAGCTATTTTCTTATTGGTTCCATCTGGGATTAGGAGACTACATCTTCCAGATCTATTGCCTTGGGCTTTACTGTGCCCAGAGGAAAGGTACCCATATCCCCCTGGACACATGGGGATATCCTGTAATGTTGCCGGTTGGCACTGGACTTTGTGTGATGAGACCCTGTGCAATGATATATTGCCTTAAGGATCGGTAGGGTGCTCTTCAGGTCCAGGGCAATGATTCCTAGCTGAGGAGTTGAGTCCTTTATGGCACAGCCATGGGGGGGGGGTTCCTGCAGTGGATGAGGGTGAGTGCCCTGGCATTGGCCCTGCTGGTACTCTTTCCTGATACCTGTACGTTTGCTTCCAGCCTCCCCTTTTACCAGGTATGACAGACTGACAGAATAGTTGATGTTTTTTTTTAATTTGTTTTCATATGTTTCAGTGTGCTTTGTACTGCAACAGGGCTTCCTGGGCAGCCTGACTGGTCTGGGTGGTCCCTGGTGCCAAATAGAGAGGACGGAGCTTTTTGTCTGCCCCTTGCATGCATCTACTACCCAGTGAGGCTGCACGCATGGCCAGTACGGCCAAAGACTTCATGAATGGTGCAGAACTCTGTCAGTGGCTATCTTGCCATAGATTGCATGGGATAGCAGAGAACAGCACTGTGGGACTACAGGTAGTAGCAAGCCTGAGTGAAGGAAACAAGCATTCCTTATTTGCCAAACTAACATATCTCGAAAATGTTAGGAGGCTGTTCCCTGGGTCAACCAGTGTGCTGGTGAATTTTTTTGCACAGTGCCCTGTCGGGTGACTGGAACCATCATTCTTAGCGAGGGTCACAAGAACTGTTAGAAGGCCATACCTCAGCGACGTCCGGGAGAGGGGACCTGGGTGGTGAGGGATCCCTAATACTTTCGCCAGACAGTTGGAATCCTGCTCCCTTTGTAAAATATCCCTGGGAGGTCAGTTAGGTCCGGGTGGCTCTGATATCCCCTACGTGTCTGGATTTTCCACTACGTCTGCGCATTTCTCCAGTTGCTATGTGTCAATAGAGGAAATCTCATCTGCCATTGCTCGTTTACAACACCAGCGTATTCTCTTATGCTTAGACCACCTTGGTAGCAAGCAAAAGCATTCCTCCTTACCTCCCCCCTTTCTTAATAATTATTGTAGGAAGTACCAGAATTTATCCTCATTTGAAGGATGTTTTATACGTGGACTGGGATCACCTTGACAAGGTGTAAAATGTTTACTCCACAATACCTCATGGAAAATGAGTTCACTAAGATAAGTGTGCCATCAGCAGATCTGGCAGCCTCCTATTTCAACGGTACCAGTGGATGGAGTCTGAGTATTTAAAGATGCCTTGAATAAATGCATGGAGGCTTTATTTAAAACCTCATTTGCTATGATAAGGGCAGCTCTACAACTGGTGATTTTGGCTGTACAAGTGTGAAAAAACCTTAAAGTCTGGGTGCATCGCAATTCAAATGTTTTGAATCCATAAAAAAAATATGATCTTCTTTTGTGAGCTTTCAATTATCTCCTGTCTCAAGGTGTAGTCGTCTCTGTTCCAGAGGGCAAAAGGTTTTGTGGTTTCTACTCAAACATTTTCTCTGTTCCAAAACTTAACAGCGATGTTCACCCCATTCTGGATCTCAAGGGAGACAACAAGTTTCTCCAGGTGCAGAACTTCTGGATGGAGTTGGTGTGGTTGGTGGTGACCTCTCTCCCTTGGGGAAATTTCCTGGCATCAGTGGATATCAAGGATTCTTATGTTCTACTCATTCCACCTCACCATACGTTTTCTGCAGCTCACAGTGCAGGACTGCCACTTTTTATTTTTGTAGCCCTGCTGTTTGGCCTATCTACAACTTGGCTCCCAAAGGGTTAATAAGGTCCTGGCTCTAGTCCTGGGGACCCTGTGTACCCTTGGTATTACTGTTGTCCCTTACTTTTCAGGGAGCATTCTGCTTCACTACTGGGGACCAATGTATCTCACATGGTGCACACTCTGAAGAGGCTTGGAGGGGTTCTGAATTTGCAGACATTGGCTCTAGTCCCAACCCAGAAGTTGGAATATTCAGGTCTGAACTTAGATGCCATGCAGACGAGTGATCCTCCCTCCAGACAAATGTCTTGCTCTTAGGGCTCAGGTGGACTTGTTCAAGACTCTGCCAAATCCTTTGATTCACTTATGTATGAGGGTTCTGGGAAAGATTGTAGTCTCCTTCAAGGCAGTACTCTTTGCCCAGTTTCATTCCGGGTCTTTCAACAGAATGTCTTGAATGGCATTGGATTTGGATAGGAGGACAAAGTCGTTGAATTCCCCAATGCCGTTACTCCTCTGCCCAAGACTGTCTCTGGACTGCTGGGTCTCCTCAATGATGCTGGAAAAGGAGGAAAGTCTTTTCAACCTCTGTCCTGGAGGGTCCTGATGACAGACGCCAACCTAATGGGCTAGGATGGAGTTCTGGGCAGTCTGTTGGTCCAGGGAGCTTGGTCACTGGGCAATGGAGGTTGTTGTCAATCCTGGAATTAAGGGTGATTCATCTTGCCTTGCGGCATTGGTTGGTATAAGTGTTCGTGTTCAGTCAGACATGGTGATGGCACACATAAATCATCAAGAAGGCACCAGAAGTTGGGCTGGTCAGGAGGAAGTGGATCTCATCCTGTCTTGACTGGGCTTTTATGCATCCACACTGTCTGCTGTCCACATTCTAGGCGTTGAAATTGATTGGTGGATTTTTTCAGCCATCAACCGTTATCTTTGGGAGAGTGGGTATTTCTCCCGCAGGTGTTTGAGAAACTCTGCCAATGGTGGGCAACTTCTGATGTGTATCTTCTGGTGTCCAGGTTTGTTGCAAAGCATGAAAGAGGTTCTTGGTGGATACTCTGGTTACACCGTGGGGCCAGTTCTCTCTAATTCTTGTCTCCCACTGTTGAAGCTTCTATTTCATCTGTTTGACAGCGCTCAGTTGAGACTCGTTCCGGTGATCCTGACTGACCCGGCCTTGCCCAGGAGAACATGGTACTCCGACATTGTGAACATGTTGGTGGATGACCCTTTGACCCTTCTTGATTGACCGGAACTTCTTTTGCAAGGTCCGATCTTCTATCCTTTCTTACAGTCACTGGCTTTAATAGCATGGCTGTTGCAGCCAGGGCCAGGAGAAACAGGTAAGTCTTTGATTCTGTCATTCCTACCCTGTTGAATGCTAAGAAGGTGACTTCAAGGAAAATTTACCACAGAACTTTTAAATTTTAATTTGCTTGGTGTGAGACTTGGGGAGTGTCTGGAGTTGATATAGGGCTGGTCTTGAGTACAATCAATAGTCAGATTTTGGATTTGGCAAGCTTTTTTCAAAGAATCAATTGTTTCACATTCCTTGGTGCATGCCTTTGTGGAAGGCATGACATTTTTCATCCACTGGTTAAGACTCCGTGGGACCTTAGCTGGTACTTTCTGTATTACAGAAATGTCTATTTCAACCCATCTTAGATATTCCTTTAGTCCTTCTGACTTGGAAAGTTTATTTTTGGATTGCTATTACTTCTGCTCTGAGAGTTTTGGAATTGGATGTTGTAACCTGTAAGAAACCGTTCCTGGTGTTCCACCATGACAAGGTGGTCCTACAGCCTCAGCAATCCATTTTATATAAGGTAGTTTCTTTGTTCCCTCACAACCAGGACATTGTCTTGCCACCCTTCATTTTCAAAACCTCAGGCACCGGGGGGGGGGGGGGGGGGGGGGGGCGGTGGGAACAAGGTTCTTCATACCTTGGGTGTGGTTTGTGCTATCAGTGCATAACTTATTGAAGATGCCCTGTGTCCTGTGATGTACTCCAAGAAAAGGATTTTACAGGTAAACCAAAAATACCATCTTTTTTTTCAATCAGACATAGACTTGCATTGTGCACAAGTACAGTAAACCCTTACCATTATGTTGCTTTGCAAAGCAGTGATGACTGCCTCCCCTTCATGCTGTATATAATTACAAACTATTCATACAAACAAATCTTTTCGTAATCTCAAAATACAACATAACTTGAGTTACATCAAATTGATCTATCTTCCGCAGATATCTAAGAAAAATGTTGTAAAAAAAAAAATACATGTTCCCTTTAAATGATTTTGTACACCTTTGAAATTTCTTTTTTTTTTTTTCTTATTTACTTTCCCAATAATGAGACACGGAATACTGCTAATATACACTCACCAGCCACTTTATTAGGTACACCTTGCAAGTGCCAAGAAAATCTCCCCCACACCATTACACCACCACCTCCTGAACCGTTGATACAAGGCAGGATGGATCCATGCTTTCATGTTATTTATGCCAAATTCTGATCCTACCATCTGAATGTCACAGAAACCATTCCTCTGACATCAACAAGGCATTTTTCATCCATATCCAAGTGCCGCTCACTGGATATTTTCTCTTTTTTGGACCATTCTCTGTAAACCCTAGAGATGGTTGTGTATGAAAATCCCAGTAGCTCAGCAGTTTTTGAAACCAACAACCATGCCACGTTCAAAGTCACTTAAGTCCCCTTTCTTCCCTATTCTGATGCTCGGTTTGTACTTCAGAAAGTCGCCTTCACCATCTCTAGATGCCTAAATGCATTGAGTTGCTGCCATGTGATTGGCTGATTAGCATTCTTGGCTTACCAAGCAGTTTAACAGGCGTACCTAATAAAATGGCCGGTGAGTGTACTAAACAATGCTGTTTTTTCTCATTCAAGTTCGTTGTATTTCTGAAACCTTCAAATCATGTATGTTTTTGTTTCAGGGAGTAAAGTTGCTCTCATATTTGTACAAAGAATCTCTTGAAAACAGCAGTAATGAAAACTATCCAATCTTGTTATCCCTGCTAAAGTCCAGTTGTGAGCCATACACTAGGTAATCTTCTATGAAAATGACTGAGCATAAAATAAAATTCGAATTAGTTAATCCTTATGTATAGTATTTTTTTTTTTTTTTTTTGGTAGGTTCATCTATGACTGGGTCTACAGTGGTGTATTGAGGGATATTTTTAAAGAATTCATGATCCAAGTCAATGAAGATTTCCTAGGATTTAGAGGTACATTATTATGCTTAAGAATTTGCTTGTAACATTTGCTGTCCTGCCTTAATCATTTATACGTGACTGCTTTGTGTTAGATCAGCGTTACTGGATCCATGGATATATTTTGATATCCAAGGAAGTAGAAGATTGTGTGCCAGTCTTCTTAAAGCACCTTGCTAATGAAATATATATGTGTGGGAAAACCATAAACTTATTGAAATTATGCTGCCCCAAGGTATGTGAAAATTTACTTTCATCTAATGTACATTTTGTGTAGACATATTCTGTGGGTATGTCATTTAGGACCTGTGTGTTAGTGTCAGCTTCCTCTTGATACAGGCTTATGTTGGCAAACCATGGTTAATACTGCATGATCCTTGATTTACAATGCACATAGTTACACCAACTGCATGGCATGATATTTTAAGTAATTTTTGTTCTGAGGTCCTAGAATATGTTAATGCCAAGCTATAATGTCTTAACTATAAATTGTACTGTGAACTGAAACAGACTGAGCTTCATATCATAAACATTTTCGTAGACATTTCTTGCCCTGTTTGTGTGACTGGGATTCCCATATGTTAGATAAACTCTTTATCAAGCGCAATGTGAGTTAGGAAGTTCAGATGCAAACCCGATATCAGGTTGACAATTGTATCTGGATGAAAGGACATTGTTTTATATTTTTTGGGAGTTTTTCCACAGAAGTTTCCTGCATCCTAGTTGGGAATGGCAACTGTCCCCTTGGGTTTTAGTAAACTTAGTTGGTTCCCCTAAATAGATCATGGGAAGTTTTGTCACAACCAGTATAATTTTGGCTGGGTATGTTTTTTTTTTTTTGTTTTTTTTGCAGAACAGACATTCTCATCTGCTTAATCCTTTTACAGTTGCATATTTCTTTTTTTCCACGAGTCACAGTAACATGTTCTCTTCTGCACACATTTTGAGTAGTCAAATGGAGATGTTCCCTCGTCCATTTCCAAGTCCTTTTGGGTGTGCTTTCCATTTTCCAGGGTGAGCTAAGCCAGAGCACTAGGAGAGATGGGAGGTGTTGGCAGGTAGTCCAGCACAGTGAACATGTAGGTGCAAAAAAGCATTCTTCCCAGTGATGCACTTCTGCCCTTAGGAGTAGTCTTTGTGAACAGAGATTCAGGCATGAACACAGCACAGTCATGTAGCGTCTGACCTAGTAAGTGATGAAACTAGGAATCACACTGGACACCTTTCCAAGATGCTTGCTGATGTACTGAAAGCCTTTCACCAGCTAGATCCTAAATTATGTCCAGGTTCCAAAAACCCATCCAGACTTGGACCATAAAGGCCTTCCTGTGTAACAGCTCACATCCACTCTCCTGACTGGCATCTATGCTGATAAAATGTACAGCAGAAGTGTTAGAATAACAATGACAGGCTATTAAAATAACATCAGCTTAATGTACACATACCATGCAGTAAACAGGGTATACAGTAACAATTCCAGATTTTGTAATTTGCATGTTTTAGCAAGCAGGAAAAAAAAGTAGTATAAGAACATAATGTTGAGATTTGTGACTTGGCCCTGACACTTTTAGACTGCCAGTAATAGAAAACCCGATGTGTATATAACGATCTTGTGACTGTATTATTTCTGTATATAGTGTACATTGTAAAGTATTTATTTTGCAGCATTACATTTGCTGGTCTGACATCCCTGTACCTCGAATATCTGTTACCTTTTCTTTGGAAGAACTAAAGGAAATGAAAAAAGATTGTGCCATTTATGTGGCCCGAATGGAGAGAATTGCTCGATACAGCAGCATCAGCAAGGAGGAAAAGGTAGCACCAAATTCTCTAAATATTTTCACGTTTGCAGGAAGTGCCCTAACAGAAGTTATTGCAAGAAATAAAATTATGATCTAAAAACGAGCGCTGGAATTATATGCAGGGAGCAGCTAGCATGAAAAGTGGAACCCCTAAACCTTCTAGAACACATATATAAACAACATGCAGCGCTAAAAACAATTCTAAATGCCGTAATAGAATATCAGGATTACCTTAATGGTGTAATATACAAATATCATAGTCTCTGGGGTGGACAGCCCCATATAATGTATTAAGTATACCGTATAAATAAGTCTATGATAATGAATGGTTCAGAAAAATAAAATCATATAAGTGTATGTCGTGGGATGACAGTCTATAGTATAACCTATGTTGGCAATGGTGACGTCGGTGATGTAGTAAATAAGTGTGGGTTGCACTAACCAGATAGCGCATATAAAAGCGCATTCGAGTGTTTGGACCAACTCCTGGTCATCTGCGTCTGGGTGTCTGGAGCTCAGGAACAGCTGGTGGGCATCGAACGGGAATTACAGCGCATCATAAGGACTTCCAGGTAACCTCAGTGCCGTCAATAAACACCAGGGGGAGCCAACATACAGAGCTGTCATCAATGGTATCCTTGAAAGGGGGGGCTCATAACGAAATGAACCAAGCACAAACATTTCCATAGTGCAAAACTGCTTTAATAGGTAATGAAGTATAACAGGATGCAAAAGGAATACACTCACATGTATAATGATAAAGATGGCCGCTGGCCAAGTAAACTATTGGATTATAGTTGGATGCTGAACTCTTATTTGTCCATGTTGGTTTTTAGGAACTGCAAGCAGAATTTGCAAAGCAGGATCTTATCATTCAGGCACGAGAAACAGCAGAGAAACTCTTGGAAAGATTTAAAGGTTAGATAATGTCTTTGTCAAATTTGTTCATAACTCCAGCTTTTTGAGGGTGTTTTTTAATATCCTTTTTTTTTGGTATAGATAGGCAATTGGCCGAGAAAATATCTTTGGACACAAAGAAGAGAGAACTCTTTTTGAAGCTGAAAGAACAGTTTGAGAAAGATCAAGAGGTAATTACTTTATGACTTTTTACTGTATTTTATATCCCTTAACTGCATTGAAATATAAACTACCGTCAAGCGTTTCCTACAGCGCTTTTGCCTCGAATTTCTGCATGAAAGGCTTTTAAAATGTTGTGTTTTGTCAAGGTAGGACAGTGGCTAAATGGTTAGCACTTTTGCCTGGCAGTACTAGGGTCGCTGGTTCAAATCCCAACCACCTGCCTGGAGCTTGCATGTTCTCCCTGTGCCTGCGTGGGTTTCCTCCGGGTACTCCAAAAGACACTCCAAAAGACATGCTGGTAGGTTAATTGGATCCTGTCTAAATTGGCCTTAGTATGTGTATGTATGAATATGAGTTAGGGACCTTAGATTGTACACCCCTTGAGGGTTAGGGACTGATGTGAATGTATAATATATATGTAAAGCGCTGCGTAAATTGACAGTGCTATATAAGTACCTGAAATAAATAAATACCTGAAAATAAGGTTAGATCACATTTTATCTGGACAGTAATGTCTGTAATAATGACTTCCTGAAAAGAAGATAACTAAAATAGCATATTCTTCAGTGCATGATTTGCTGCATCCATTCAGGTGTGGATTTGCAGATCCCGCTGTCAAAATAATAAAATATACCGTTTTTTGGGGAAAAAAAGCCCTTTCAGAATGGGTTGGTGAAAAGAGCTTTAGGGCTCCATACTCGCTAGTGTTTTTTTTTAAGCTACATAAATAGCTGGATAAAAATTGCTAGGAATAGCGTTTTTTTTAGTAGCGTTCAGAAGCGTTTAGGAGCTTTAGCGTTTTAACAGTATATGTTGAGGGAAAAATAGCTATAAAAAAGCTGTTAGAAGCGTTTTAATAGCGTTTAGCCTTTTTTTCCGCTGGAAAAACGCTCCCCCCAAAAAAACCTACAAAAGCTTTTTTTTTTTTTTTTTTTTTTTTTTTTTCTACTAGATGCTAAAGCTGATAAAATGCTAATAGCCTAAAGTAGTGTGCATGGATACATAGGAGAACACTATTTAGCTTCTAGGAGCAGAAAGAAAAATACTAATAACAGCTTCTAAAAGCTTAAAAAACGCTACTGTGCATGGAGCCTTAGAAGACTTCAAAAGAAACATTGTTTAACTACCTGCCGACTGCAGATAGCCGAATGACGGCTGCACTGCGGTCGGCCAGTTCTGAGTGGACGTCTTATGACGTCCTCCCAGAACGCGCTTTCCTGCGCGCCCCAGGGGGCGTGCACCCGGCGATCTCCGTGATCGCTGTGTCCTACGGACACAGCTGATCACGTGATGTGGTAAGAGGCCAATCACAGCGGCCTTTTACCACGTGATCAGTGGTGTCCAATGACACGCTGATCAGAGGGAAATGCAAGTGCCGGTTCTCGGCTGCACTTTCCTCACGCTGTCAGATCGTGAGGAAAGTACTGCCGAGAACCGGCAGTTGTCAGAGCGGGGATCGGCACCGATCATCAGGGCACTGATGATCAGTGCCCTGATGATCGGTGCCCAGCAATGCCACCCGCAAGTTCCGCCCACCTGTGCCCAGCAGTGCGCCCACTAGCTCCGCCCACCTGTGCCCAGCAGATCACCCACCTGTGCCCAGCAGTGCACCCACCTGTGCCCAGCAATGCACCCACCTGTGCCACTCTGCAGTGTCACACACCTGTGCCCAGAAGTGCCACCTACCTGTGCCCAGCAGTTCCACCCACCAGTGCCACCCACCTGTGCCCACCCACCAGTGCCGCCCACCAGTGCCACCCACCAGTGCAGCCCAGCAGTGCTGCCAGTCAGTGCCCAGGGGTTGTGCCAGTCAGTGCCGCCAGTCAGTGCCCAGCAGTGATGCCAGTCAGTGCCGTCTATCAGTACCCATCATCAGTGTCACCTATCTGTGCCGCCTATCAGTGCTGCATATTAGTGCCGCCTATCCGTGACACCTCATTAGTGCTGTCTATCAGTGCCGCCTATCCGTGCCACCTCATTAGTGCTGCCTATCAGTGCCCTTTAGTGCTGCCTATCAGTGCCCATCAGTGCCGCCTCATCAACGCACATCAGTGAAGGAGAAAAAATACCTGTTTGAAAAATTTTATAATAGAAACAAAGAAACTTTTTTTTTTTTCAAATTTTTTGCACTTTTTTTATTTATAGCGCAAAAAGTAAAGCGCCCAGTGGTGATTAAATACCACCAAAAGAAAGCTCTATTTGTGAGAAAAAAATGATCAAAATTTCATATGGGTACAATGTTGCATGACCGCGCAATTGTCAATCAAAGTGCGGCAGCGCTGAAAGCTGAAAATTGGCCTGGTAAATAAGGGGGTATAAGTGCCTGGTAGGCAAGTGGTTAAACTTCTTTAATTGTCAGACACATCAGAGGGATTTTTAAGATGAAGGCCCCCTTCACATGGGTGGACTTCACCAAGTGGATCTTCCTGCTCAGTGGGGGATCTGTCCACTGATTCCTGCTGAACAGGCAGATGATACGATCCATTCATCCTTCGTTTTCATGTTAAATTATATGTACTTTTAAATTGTACTTGTAGCTGGTATTGAATGTTTTTTTATATAATATAATTTTTTAATCTGTAAAATAAAAATAGGCTTTTATTTTTACTACTTATAATTCTTTTTCTTTTGTGTGTTTGGACACCTTAAAATCCCCCTTTCCCACAATCTCCTCTTTGGAGGGACATGGGGGCACTTCCTTTTTGACTAATAATTCTAGCTGAGGATTGTATATGGGATGACAAGATCTCCCACCCAGTATTTGAGATAATGTACATTTTTTTCCTCACAGCTGTTTTTAGAAAGTATGCTTGTCCATGCTCCTCTTACATTCAAATTAACAAGTTTTCTATGAGTTCTCTCAAGTGACTGAATGCGCAATTGCTGTACTTCCAAAAGTTAATAAATCATTAGAGTAAGACTAACTCTTGGTTACTTGAATATAAATTAAAGAAGTGCAGCCAAAGCTCTTTTGAATGTACTTCTGTGGATCACAGGAGTGCGGTGTGTTCTGCACTTCTGTAACCCGGTTTCAGCTGACAGTGGTGGCCTGAAGCACACTTTCGGCTGATGTCACTCGGTCGGTCCAGGCTGGGGAAAGATCCCGAGAGTCTGGAGCGGCAGCTGGCTCAGCCTCTCAGCTAGCTACTGAGAGCCTGAGCCAGCCGTTCTCTCCCCTTCCACAGCCCAGTGTTCCAATGGGCCAGGGGGGGCAGAGCAGACAGCGATGACTGACAGTGACCGCTCTCTGCTCAGAGCGGCTGTGAGAACTCAGTGATCAGCAGTCATGTGATCGCTGAGTTCTCACCCTTAGAGCCGGCGGGGACAGATGCAGCATCAGATCAATGCTGCATCCACCTAGGTAAGTATGATTTGGGGGAAAAACAAACTATTCCCATATTTCTCTTCTAAGCAGGGGTATCCAAAATGCATACTATATAGGTGGCTCTCGCATTGTTGAATATTTAAAGTGACTTTGAAGTGAAGTCTTGACCACTCCCACCTGCACTATACATTTCTGCTGGCCCTTCATTGGCCCTCCACTATGATGGACTTGCCGGAAGTGATGTCTTTGTGTAATCAGAAAAAACATACTTTGGGGCAAAGTAGGCTACTAAAAGATGCTGTTGCTTTAAGCAATAAAATGAAATGTTACTCATAAGCTTTTGGAGGCTCACTTTTGATTAATTTGCAGCAACAGAACAGCCTCTTAACTCCTTTTTCCACACAGCGACGGCTGGCTACCAGACAAGAGGAGGCAGATGATGATTTCAGTTATGCTCGAGAGTTGCGTGATCGTGAGCAAAGGTTAAAAGCATTAGAAGAGGAACTGGAGAACAAAGCTAGGTAAATGATTTTTAATATTTACTGTTTCTGTACAGAAGATATTATTTGGTTTCTTTTTTCCTAAGTTTTTGTTGTGATAGTGTCTAGAATGCTGATTTTGTCCTTTAGAAAGCTCAATACATGTACAGTTTATATTCAGATATTTAGAGTTTACTGTACAGCTGCTCACATGAACTATGTTTCTTTTTAACTGTATCCCTCATGAAGGAATGGGCTGTTCTGAAGCTTATCCTAGGGTTGGTAAATGAGGATTTAGCTGTAGCTGCTCACCTGTCCCTCGATCCTGCGATGTCCTCCCCGCAGCCCGTTTCACTGGCTGACCTTTGTACCCGGTGCCGGTATCTTCAGTGTGGGCACCCAGCTGTGACAGTTTGCGGCATCACTGCGCATGCACTAGTAGCACTCCACTCTCTGAATGGTCCTGTAGTCTTCTGGGACCTGTCACATGTCCCAAAAGACTACAGGGAGGGAGGGAGGAGGACAACTTCCGCTTCTGATCGCCTAGGGCTAGGCGATTGCAATGGAAGTGGAAGCGGGTACCTGTCAGTTTCGGGTACTCGCTCCCCCATCTAAAAGTCATTAACAGGTAACGGGGGTTCAGTCCTTTAAAGCAGAACTTCCCTTTTTGGGTGGAGTTCCGCTTTAAGGGTTAGCCAGAGAACCTATTGTTTTATAACCTTAAAACATTGAACTTCTAGTAACTATTAATGAATGTAGAAAAGGAGGCATCAGAGTATTAGATTTGTTGGATGTTGGATCAACAAACATCTTTTTAGCAAGCCTTCTGAAAATACTTAAGGGGTTTGAAAAGTAACATTTGTCGTCTACTTGCCAATTCAATATTAAAATTATAGGGTAAAACACAAAGTGGTCCCTTTGCCGTTGTGATATTTGCTCTTACTTGATAAAAACTGTTTAGCTTATACATGATTGGAAGATATGTAAAGAAAAGTAGGATTAAAAGCATTTTCCATTTCATGTTAGCAGCTCACAAATATGATTTATTTTTGCTTGTACCTGTCCTTCTCTCCCCCTTCATAGAGAGGAACTTATAGAACATTATAGCAGACTATCTGAGGAAGCTACTCGAAAAGAGCAGAAAGCTCTATGGAAGCTCCAACGTCATAAGCTGGAAACTGCTCGCCTGAAGTTCTTCTGGGATGATGAAAAGCACATACAGGTTCATAATTACTTTTGCTGTCATCTGCAGGAGTGTATGATACTTTTAACTTGTGTTTTAATGGTAATTGGTTTTTTTTCCCCAAGGAGTTGCTGAAGCAGAATCCTGTGGCCCAGTCTACAGAAAATATAAATACTTTACCACTTCCAGAGGTACAGTATGATAATTCTTTAGCATGTACAACAGTAACCAACCATATGTGTGAGGTTTGTTTGTTTTTTTAAAGCTTTAATTTCACTTATGCAAATCTGTTTATGGAGCACATGCAGGATTCACTTAGGCCCAACATTTAGTTGCAGCATCTTGCGGAAGACAAATAACAGTTGTAAATTATTCTCCATCCTCATTTCATATACAGGAGAACAGAATTCTTGCACAGATGTCAGATCATATCCAACTGTAGTAAAGCCGGACAAATCACACTGCATTCCTGCCTAGGAACACCCCTATCTAATGTTTCATCCAGTAAGAGCTTGATCACAGAGATCAAGTCCATATTGGGTGAAATGCTGAATGCTGCAGCACCTAACGTGGAATTTTACCCATAATACCTTGATAAAAAATAATGTTTTTTAGCAAAAAACATACATTCCACATTAATAATTATGCTACCAAAATTAGTGTGTGCTGTAAATTGCCTCCAGAATTGATCTTGTCTCTTTTTGCTGGAGGCTGCCATTTTGCTGAAGCCCAGAGCCCCTGACCAGCAGTAAATATTTAGGCTGTCACCACATCAGACTCTACGTTTTTGGCACAGAGATCAACTGAGCTTGTGCAAAGCAGGGTGAAACAGTGTATTACTGGATGTTAAACAGTATAGGAACTTATTTTTAATGTTTTACATAGCTATACCTGCAAAAGGTGCCAACCTGAAGTGAAGGACCTAATTTTCTGACTAAAGTTCCACTTTAAACCTCAACTCTAGGCAGGCACAAAAAAACCTCGTACACTACTATGGTTAAATGCTTGTTAAGTCTAGGGGGTTGGAGAAGAGGCTGTATTGACTCCCTGCTCAAGTAGACTCCAGTACTCTCCTCTCTCCAAAACTCTGGTCTGTGGGTGGAGCCTTTGTGTCATCACATACAGTATGGGGTGATTAACTCTATGCTGTATGTGATGTGAGGCAAGAATGTGACTGCGGCTGGGTGGGTATGCTATAGTCAGGCTTATAAGCTAATCTGCTCAGGGGCGGACTAACAACTCATGGGGCCCCCGGCAATAGGGGATCATGGGGCCCCTGTGTCCTTGCCCAAACTCAAAAAAGCCTATGAAAAAGGTACCAGGGGCATCTGATGGGGCCCCCCCTTCTGACCCTGGGCCCTCTGGCAGTGCCCAAGTTTCCAAATGGTCAGTCCGCCCCTGATCCTGCTTATTGCTTTCTGTACTGGCAGCACTACGTCTGTTGCTAAAACCTTCCCACTGTGAGCTGCAATGTCTGGAAGCAAGAGCATGTGAGAGATAAATGAAGGAGGATTTGGCTTGGTCAGGGAAAATAGAATATGCTTTTGTTTACATTATGGGGTTTGTGCGTCATATAGTAACCGGCTTTGGTACTTGTTTAGACTGCCATGCAGAAGATTTTAGTTGTACTTGAATAAACATTCAAATATATGCCATTTTTGTTACCATAGGTTTGCTTTAAAGTTTTTGGTTTTTTTTAACCATAGATATTTTTTTTTTTTGTTCAATAATATTACATTTCTGTTTTTGTAAACTTTTTGTTTTTTTTAAAGTCCTGTTTTATTAGTTTATTAGAAGTGTGATTATATCACTCCTAGTTTTTTTAATCCCAACAGCTATCATTTCATGACAATAACACTCCAAAAAACTATAAAAAAAATTAGAAACAAATTTTGCACATAATATAATTTAGCAAATTTTTTAATTATTTTTTTAGATTTCACCTACTGAACCAACGTCTTTAAGTGACAATGTCAATGAGGAAGAAACAAGAGAAGAGAATCTCATTATTGCACGTGCTCCATCACCTCTTCTAGAAAATAAACTGTCTCCTTTAATTGTAGCTGAGAAAGAAGACACAGATTGTTGTCATCCGAGCTTATGTACTCCTGGTGTGGACTTTTCTGATTTTCTTCCTGTGACAGCCGCTGAGAAACAAGACACTGAATTGACTAGTGATCTCTCACAAGTGGATGATGCTTTAAAAGGCATAGGCTCAGATCTTGCAAAGTCTAAAGAAAAACAAATTGTCACTCCTGTAAGTGACTATGACTTCAACACTGTGTTGAAACCAGTCCCATTTACACAGGTTTCTCAAGGACACATACAAATTGGAGAATATATATCTAATGAACAGCCCAGAAGGCCACGTTGGAACTTTCATGGCCATGCGTCAGATGCCAACATTAAAGTTGGAGAATATGTTCCTGATACACCTGTGACGATTCCACAGCCTAGTCAGCATGGTCATTCTTCTGATTCTCACATTAATATTGGAGACTTCATGTCTGATGTCCAGCCCTCAAGACCTCACTGGAACCTCTATGGGCATGTCTCTGAGGGGCACATAAAAATAGGAGAATATGCTTCTGATGTAGAGCCTTCTAGACCCAGGCAGAATATCTATGGGCATTCCTCAGAGGCAAATATCAAGGTTGGTGAAAATGTTTCAGATGTGAAACCTTCAAGACCACGTTGGAATGTCCATGGGCATGCTTCTGATGCCAATATCAAAATTGGAGAGAATGTTTCTGAAGTTGTTTCCTCACGACCTAGGTGGAACATACATGGACATGCTTCACAGTCCCATATACAGATCGGCAGTCTTGTCTCAGATGTAGAACCAATAAAACCACGCTGGAGTCCTTTTGGACATGCCACACAATCCAGCATTAAAATTGGAGAATGGTCTTCCTCAGTAGATGACACTGTGACTCCTGTACCTAAAACAGAATTTGCCCATCCATCTGACTCCACAATCCAGAACGTAATTTACGGTGAAAGAAAGGACTTTGAAAGGCCGCCTGAAACTCCAGAAACAGAGGACTTTTCTTCAGAACAAACATGCTCATCAGATCCTGTAACTGTAGTATCACCATCTAGTATGAAAGAGGAGGAAAGTGAAGAAGGCCTTCAAGCAGGTGTGTACTGTACCTGTGGAATGTACATATTAACCGCTTCCCGTGTGCCCTATAGCAGAAATACTGCTACAGGGCGGCACAGGTGCGCAAAATCACGTATATATATGTGATTTTGCAGTTCCGGGTAGGGGGCGCGCACCCTACCTGCACCGCCATTCGCGGCCTCGGCTGTCAGTCATGAGTCCCAGCTGGTGATTACTCGCCGGCACCCAGTGATCACCGAGTATTACCAGTGGGGGAGAGAACTGTATGTGAACAACACAGTTCTCTCCCCTGTCAGCTCCTGCACACTGCTTTGTATGGCTCTGCATAGTAGAGAAATACAAAGCAGTGTGCTTATAGTGAAGCACACACAGCACAAAATGTGAAACAGCACACAGTTAACCCTTTGATCTCCCCAGATGTTAAACCTTTCTTGCCCAGTGCCATTAGTACAGTGTCGGCTTTTTATTAGCACTGATCACTGTATTGGTATCACTGGGAATGTCACTGACACCAAGTCAGTTCCCCCCCCCCCCCAGTGTCAGAATGCCCGCCGCAGTTCCGCTATAAGTCGCTGATCGCTGCCATTACTAGTAAAAAGAAAAAAAAAATTCCAGTAAGTATACCTCTATTTGTAAACACTATAACTTTCACGTAAACCAATTAATTTACACATATTGGGATATTTCTTTTAGCAAAGACGTAGCAGAATACATTTTTGCCTAAATTTATGACAAAATTAGTTTTTTTTTCTAATTTTTTTTTATTGGACATGTTTAATAGCAAAAGGTAAAAAATATTGTTTTTTTTTTTTACTCAAAATTGTCTGTCTTTTTTTGTTTATACCTCAAAAAATAAAAACGCACAGGTGATCAAATACCACCGAAAAAACCCTCTATTTGTTAGAAAAAAGACGTTAATTTCATTCGGGTGCAGTGGTGCATGACGGCACAATTGTCAGTTAAAGTAACGCAGCGCCATAATGCAAAAAATGGCTTGGTCAGGAAGTAAATCCTCTGGAGGGCAAGTGGTTAACATAAGCAGGCAATTAATTTGTTTGTACACAAACCTGGGTTGGGATTTGTTGGATTTTTCCACCCTTTCTTCTATGATTAATACTTTTGGCTCAAAGTGGCAAATTGTAACTCTAGGTTAGTTTTATTGCTAAGATGGCCATAAATGTGACCTAGCCCTGCCAAATTCAGCTGTTTCATTTTAAATAGACACTGCACTTCATGTTTTTGTTTTTTCTTTTTTTGTTGTGCTTTTTTTTTCTTCAGCACCTGAAAATATGACTGAAGACAGCAGACCAGCGTCAACAGGATCACCTGTAAATATTAAGGTACACGCTTTAAGCTGTTTTATGTATAATGCAACCTAACATTTTAAATTATATAATGAGCCTAACATAATGAAAAGGTAAATATGATTGGACATAAAGGTACAGCTGATTGATGGAAATCTCCAGAAAGAACACTTAAATCAGCAAATATGTAAAATATGTCGCTATTTCCTTATATATGTATTTTCTTAAATATACCATTTGGAAGGTTTGGGCCTATAGCACGAAATGAAGCATGCCTTGGACAATAAATTGCTTTTTCCAGGTTTAGGAAAACATAACCTGAAGTTTTCATTAGGCAACATACAGATCCATCCAATACATAGTCTCCCATCTACTTACTTTCATTAATGGCTAAGTTCACATTTCATAAAAAATAAATAAACAAGTAAAATGTTTTTGTACACTGCGGCCTGTAAAGCTTTGCATCCACGATCAGCAGATTGGATTAGGATTCTGAAGACTCTGTCAGCTGTCTGCCTGTACTTCCTGTACGGGCCGACAGTTACTGAATTGCAGAAAGAATCAATGAACTATGAGAGCGCTCACCAGTGCCCTCCTAGTTCACTGAGAATTACAATCCAGCGGTACTTGTAGATCATTCTTTCACAGAATTCTGTGAATAAATGACACGGCTGTGTGGGTGAAACCCCATAGCCACGCTGTGTTTAAATTCTGACGGGTGTGTAGAGAGGATCCCCCGCTCGCTGTCACAGGGAGAGGGTGGGCATCGAGGGGAGAGGAGGCAGGAACATGTTACATATTCCACCCTAAATACAGGCAGAACATATTCCAAAGGTGAACTTATTCTTTAAAGAAGAATGGCATCAAATGCTGTAAAAGGACTTGTACGGATTATGCTAGTAATACCACAGGCATGCTGGAGATTTCCTACCTGGAGTTCTCCTTTAAGAAGTATTCCTGAAAGCAATGTGATTACAGATGTATATGCTTAGGCAGTCTTGAATTTCTGTTTTTTTTGGGGGGGGGTTGCATGTTCTTTTACTCTTTATTGGAACAGTGTTTTAAGTCTTTATTACAAAAAAAAAGTTCAGTTTTGTTTCCCAACTGAAATATTGAAATGGATAGACTGGGATTTAGGAAAAACAGCAAAAGTAAAAAACCCGTTCAAAACAACCAGTTGTAACGTGGGACTTTTCTTTTTTGTAATCCAGCATCTGAAATCATATTGAGTGCTATGGGGGATGTGTTTTTCTCTTTCCTGTTCCTATAACTCAGCTGCTTTATACAGAAAGGTTTGTGTGTGTAACAGAGTGAAGATCCTACTTGCAGCTATGAAGAATCTGGCAACACCACACACAGTGAAGATGTGCAAGTTCCTGAGGCCAAAGAAGTGAATAATGTCGAGGATGAAACTTGGCAAAAAGAGCAAGATTATATCCAGTCACTGGCGGATAAATATTGCCTGGAGAAATATCAAGACAGCTATGCAATGATGTGTAAGTATTCCTATTGGAGAATAAATATTAATGTATGTGATATGGCATATTAATCTTTGTAAAGTTACAAGATGTATATATCCCTCTTCTATCTGTTTGTCTGTGCAGCAGAGCCTCCAGTTCTCCAAATGCTTAACCATGTAATCACCGGAGAGTTCTCCCTGCCTATGGACCCCAATGTGCACTCGGCCACTGATGAGACTGCTGTTATGCTCATTGAGCTCCTCTCCCTACCAGTGCTGATGAAGTATTCTGTTACTGCACCCATTGTATCCCAGTGAGTTTTGTAAACACTTCCAAGTTATGTTATTGCTGAAAATGGAGAGAATTAAGGATTGACTGGATTTCTGAAATGTAGCTTTGTAAGCATATATTCTGCATAATCAATGTTTGAAAGTTGGAGATGGCCTCTAATGGCCAGCTGGAAAACCTCCGCTTAAGATATAAATTAAAAGCTTCATTTTCTGTGGGCAGAGCTGCCACTATAAATGAAAAAAAAAATGAATGTAGCCTTTTAATCTCCAGATATATTTTGTAGCTCAATGTTACAAGTACCGCATTGGTCCTAATAGTTTTCATACTCTGTGATATCACATATTTATTGTTTATTTTTTTTTTCATTTTTTTGCACTTCCTTTATTTGTGTAAAAGTTATATGACATACAAAGTCTGATAACATACAGTCACAGTGTTAGTACAGTATCTTGTGGAGAAGATTCGTAACCACCACGAAAGCGGTAAACACAAAATAAAGAAGACATTTCAGTACTAGAGAGTAGTAATGAACATTCACTAAGGCCGATATTAAAAAAGTGAATTCCAGTAGAGAACTTTAATATGAAGAGTAGCATACGGTGTAATTGTAGGCTCGTTATTATTATTATACAGTATTTATACAGCGCCAACAGTTTGCTCAGCGCTCATTAGCTAGGTATTCCATAAAACTAAATTAAACGATGCGGCAGAGATCTTAAAACAAAAAGGAGGGGGGGCCACATGGCCACAAGTGGCGAAAAAACATAGTGGTATTTATGGTAAATCTACGAAAAAAATGGACGTTTTCGTAAGCATTGGTGGCAGCAAAGGACGGTTTTTTGTTTATCGGCCGACAATTTGGCAGATAAATGACCCGTCTTTGGCCAGCCTAACTCTCTAACACTAGCTAAACTGATATGAGTGAAAATGGTGGCATGAACACAATGAAGCATTCAGTGTCCTCACAGCAGGAGAAAGGTGATTTCTGGAGTTAGTCTGGTCACTAAGGACCCATTTATACTTTTGTATTGTGGTAGCACATGTTACATCCAGTGTTGTGCTGTTCATTTGAATGGCACCCTAATGGATTAAGGCAATGTTGGCAGCCCATTCATTTCAATGCAGTGCATGTGAATACACAACAGAACTCATACTAACCCAACACAAGAATGTAAATGGATCCTAATAGTACCCTACGAAAAGATATTTCTAGTACCACTTCACAGCAGTGCTTGGGGATTAAGAGGTTTATAGAAATCGGTGCAAAGAAATGTTAGGATGTTGGCAACCACTAATGTTCCAGAGGTATTTTTGCAGGTTAAAAATGTATTAGGGCCAGCTTTTCCTTTATTGTGTGTTTTTAAATTGAACTTGAGATGTCCTTGCTGCTGTTATTGACCTGGCATTCTCAACCATGAACGCTTGCAATAGCTTACTAAAGGGGGAGGAAATCAATGCTGTTCTTGTTGTAGTGTACATATTTTTAAATTCTTTGCTGCATCTTGCGTGTTAATAGAAATATATTCCTTCCCATAATCTGTTTTGTAGTGTTTCTCTTGTGAACAAAGCTGTGGTGGATTTTTACTTTGTGGAGCTGAATATGGAAAAACATTTTGTAGCAATCCGTCACTTTCTGCTTATGGAAGATGGGGAATTTGCTCAGTCACTTAGTGACCAGCTTTTTGAAAAGGTGAAGTATTTTTAAGCGCCCACGTTTTATGGAATGCATGTCATGATAAACAATGCCAGCTACACATGCTAGTCCTGTATATTATTCATGTAATGTGTTCTACTTGTTTACAGCTTGTTTCAGGACAGACGCCCGGTGAGCTGTTCACCCCTCTAGTCCTGAATTCTATCCTGAACAAAGCTCTGCAGTACAGTCTACATGGAGATTCTCAGCTCGCTTCCAATCTTTCCTTTGCTCTTAAATATATCCCTGAAATGTTCACTCCTGCAGCCCCAGATATTTTAAGCTGTCTGGAGCTGAGATACAAGGTGCGTTTATCTACAGAATTTCACTAATCCTAGGAAGTTGTTTTTTCTTATTTGCTTTGTTTGCATCATGTCAAAAAATTTATAAAATGGAAGTTCACGGTTGCTAAATTCTGTTCAGTTTTTATTTTTTTTCCCTAGATTATGAATAGAAAAGTCATCTTACTATCTAGGTTAACATTTACAACCCTTTGACAGCTCATGCTAGAGATCCATGTCATATAGAATAAATTAGGATCAAAGATTATCTCCAGCGTAGTGGTTTTTTTTTTTTTAGCATGAGAAAGGGGTAAACATTTTTAGGCTTTTATTGCTTTTATTGCTTTTAGTGGATTGCTTTTATTGCTTTTTATTGCTTTTATTGCTTTTATTGCTTTGTGATCCAGCCAAGGAGATTCCCCTCCCACCCTGTTGACGTGACTTGCAACTTATCCAAATCACCACTTAGAAAACGGGGGGACATTTCCCTAAATGCTGCTGTCAATCAGATAATGTGATGAGAGATCGAGGGGCATGTCCAAGACTCTCTGTGCGTGTCTATGGGTGCACACAGCCTCATTCGGGAACAGACTCACATGAGTGCCCTCATAGCACACAACTTGCAATATTGGCACTCATTGAAGAAGAGGAGTCAAAAGCACAAGCAGGCAACCCCAGAAGAGGAGGTAAAGTGCCGCTCTGTGCAATACCATTGCACAGAGCAGGTAAGTAAAATGTGTTTTAAGAAAAAAAAATGTCTTTACAAACGCTTTAAAAAGTAAACCAAAGTACCACATAATGTTCTCCTTGGAAGAATGTGCTTTTAGAAATACAGTCAGGTCCATAAATATTGGGACATCAACACAATTCTAACATTTTTGGCTATATACACCACCACAATGGATTTGAAATGAAACAAACAAGATGTGCTTTAACTGCAGACTGTCAGCTTTAATTTGAGGGTATTTACATCCAAATCAGGTGAACGGTGTAGGAATTACAACAGTTTGCATATGTGCCTCCCACTTGTTAAAGGACCAAAAGTAATGGGACAATTAGGCTTCTCAGCTGTTCCATGGCCAGGTGTGTGTTATTCCCTCATTATTCCAATTACAATGAGCAGATAAAAGGTCCAGAGTTCATTTCAAGAGTGCTATTTGCATTTGGAATCTGTTGCTGTCAACTCTCAAGATGAGATCCAAAGAGCTGTCACTATCAGTGAAGCAAGCCATCATTAGGCTGAAAAAACAAAGCAAACCCATCAGAGAGATAGCAAAAACATTAGGCGTGGCCAAAACAACTGTTTGGAACATTCTTAAAAAGAAGGAACGCATCGGGGAGCTCAGCAACACCAAAAGACCCGGAAGACCACGGAAAACAACTGTGGTGGATGACCGAAGAATTCTTTCCCTGGTGAAGAAAACGCCCTTCACAACAGTTGGCCGGATCAAGAACACTCTCCAGGAGGTAGGTGTATTTGTGTCAAAGTCAACAATCAAGAGAAGACTTCACCAGAGTGAATACAGAGGGTTCACCACAAGATGGAAACCATTGGTGAGCCTCAAAAACAGGAAGGAGAGATTAGAGTTTGCCAAACGACCTGTAAAAAAGCCTTCACAGTTCTGGAACAACATCCTATGGACAGATGAGACCAATATCAACTTGTACCAGAGTGATGGGAAGAGAAGAGTATGGAGAAGGAAAGGAACTGCTCATGATCCTAAGCATACCACCTCATCAGTGAAGCATGGTGGTGGTAGTGTCATGGCGTGGGCATGTATGGCTGCCAATGGGACTGGTTCTCTTGTATTTATTGATGATGTGACTGCTGACAAAAGCAGCAGGATGAATTGTGAAGTGTTTCGGGAATATTATCTGCTCATATTCAGCCAAATGCTTCAGAACTCATTGAACGTCGCTTCACAGTGCAGATGGACAATGACCCAAAGCATACTGCAAAAGCAACCAAAGAGTTTTTTAAGGGAAAGAAGTGGAATGTTATGCAATGGCCAAGTCAATCACCTGACCTGAATCCGATTGAGCATGCATTTCACTTGCTGAAGACAAAACTGAAGGGAAAATGCCCCAAGAACAAGCAGCAACTAAAGACAGTTGCAGTAGAGGCCTGGCAGAGCATCACCAGGGATGAAACCCAGCGTCTGGTGATGTCTATGCGTTCCAGACTTCAGGCTGTAATTGACTGCAAAGGATTTGCAACCAAGTATTAAAAAGTGAAAGTTTGATTTATGATTATTATTCTGTCCCATTACTTTTGGTCCCTTAACAAGTGGGAGGCACATATGCAAACTGTTGTAATTCCTACACCGTTCACCTGATTTGGATGTAAATACCCTCAAATTAAAGCTGACAGTCTGCAGTTAAAGCACATCTTGTTCATTTCATTTCAAATCCATTGTGGTGGTGTATAGAGCCAAAAATGTTAGAATTGTGTCGATGTCCCAATATTTATGGACCTGACTGTATTTGTTCTGCAATTAGTGATCTATAAATGATTATTGCATGGCAAAAGTTCATGGATTAAATCTTCCAAGGAACACAATTTGAAAAAACAAAAAACAACCTTTGGACTAACGTTTAGCTGGGGCTGTGGATCGTTATTCCAGCCCACCAGTACAAGCCCACATCATAGATATCTGATACTTCACACTGAATTGTTTTCTTTCCCTTACTCCTAAACACTGATGAATTGTCTGTGCATCTCCCTGTCTGTAAGGTCAGCTTTGTTATGCACTGTTTTCAGTGTTTTATGTGCACCAATCTCACATATGGTGGTATACATCTTAGTATGATGGTATGGGTAACTTGATGCTTTTATGACTGTCTGTGTATGTTTTCCCCTTTGTTTGCAGTAAGATCAATTCTCTACAAAGCATTGCTCTTTATTATCAGATCAGTGTATCTGTAGAAAGTGTACTAATTGTGACCTCTGGCTTTCTTAAGGTTTCTTGGCCTCTGAACATTGTCATTACAGACAGTTGTATAAATAAGTACAACAAAATTTTCTCCTTTCTGCTACAACTGAAGCATATGGTTTGGACGCTAAGGGATGTTTGGTTTCATTTAAAACGTACAGGTAAATCTTTTTCATGTGTGCGTATGATGACCTATGTATTTTTTTAAGTGGGCTTGGGCTTTTGTTACAGCTATACTATGTTTCTTAACCCCTTGACGCTGACAGCAGCATATATGCGGCCCTACAGAACTGGACTTTTTTCCATGGGGCTGCATATATGCATACTTGTGTTTGTGCTGGGAGCGCGCTGTGCACAGATACCGGGCTGTCACTGGGATACCTGGGTCCCGTATTAAAAATAAAGAAAAAATACCTAGATCAATGTTCGCTCTAGGTCAATGCCATGGTTAGTGTTCGGATCAAGTAAAAGTCATGATCAGTAAATTTTGGGCAGGACTTTTTTTTTTTTTTTGCCAAAAAGCATTTTTAAACGTAGTATCAGTGTCCGTTAGTGTCAGTGTGTGTTAGGTAGGATAAAAAGAAAGCAAACTGCGAACTATTTTTTGGGCCTTACTACAGGTACAAACAACAAAAAACATACACTTATTTGGTATCGCTGCGATTGTCAGGAGCAGGGAAATTTATTTTGGGTTGTTGTTTGGTGGTAGGTTATAGTAGTAGCAAGTAATAAATAGCAAAATCTTAAAGAAAATATATTTTTTTTTTACTATGTTGGGCCAGTTTTGCCTTGATCATAAAAAAAAAAAAAAAAAAAAATCTGGAGATATCTGTTATCATTTACCACCAAAAGAAATTTGTCCTGAAAAAAAAACAAAACAAGGTATAATTCACCTGGATACACAAAGTATTTGATATGTACGGCTTTACTAACACATCTTAAAGTTGCAAAATTGTGTTTAGGCATTTAGTTTTGTTTTACCCTTAGGCATGAAGGTGTTAAGAATGTTGTCTTCTGGGTGGTTCTGTGGGTGTCTGAGAGCAAAGAATGAAGCCATTTTTGGTGGAAATGAAAAAAAAAATTATTAAAATAGTTAAAAAGAAATAAAGGCTTTTAATAGTTTTTCATGGAAAAATATACACAATTTTTGTCTGAATTGGCTATTTTGTTGACAGTAAAATAAAATCTAATGCTGAACTCTGGGCACAAATATGTTCATTTAAATATATTCCTTAATAGCCACAAAGGATGGAAATCTACTTTGCGTCTTTAAAAACCTAGATATTACCTTTTAAACCCAATATTATCTTGTAAATGTAGTGGTGACATTACGCTTAGTATGTAGCCTGTGCAGAGAACAGAGCCGGAGGGAGGGACCCATCAGGTCCACTCAATACAGGCTGACTGCAGAAAACTAGTCTCCCTTCACAAAGGAGGAGAGCAGCAGTGACTGGTCTTTATTACGGGAAGCTTCTGCACAGAGGCAAAGTTTAAAACTGGAATACTGTATAGATCTGGAAGAAATACACAAATTACATCAAGATTCAAATAATGCTGGCCATACGCTAGTAGAATTTTGTTCAAAACATTATGTTTTTGGAACATTTATTAGATTTTCTAACGATCAGTGGGGTAAAAATCAGGGATTGCTTTTGACTCTAGTGACAGGACAATTCAAAGAAAGGGGATGGAGAACCTTGTTTTTGCCCCCGACATAATATCTTCTCTGCAGAGCCATTTCAGTGACCCCTATAATGATTTGAATATATATAGATTAATTAAGTTGTTAATATTTTATATTTTCCTTACAGCTTTAGTGAATCAAGCATCCAATTCAGTACAGTACCGACAGCTCCAGCTGTATCGACATGAAATGCAGCATTTTGTGAAAGTTATACAAGGGTATATTGCTAACCAAATTCTGCATGTTACATGGGCTGAGTTTAGAAACAAACTTCGTACAGTCAGCAACCTGGAGGAAATCCGCAAGGCGCACGTAGAATACCTCAACAAGGCCCTTTTTAGGTACATACAGTGTGCAGCTAACATGCATTTCTTTAAAGCATTTATTAAATAAATTGTGCTAGTAGAATATGTGTTGTGATCTGCCGCAAACATTAACATATACAGTGCATCCAGAAAGTATTCACAGCGCTTAACTTTTGCCACATTTTGTTATGTTACAGCCTTATTCCAAAATGGATTAAATCCATTTTTGTACCTCAACATTGTACAAACAATACCCCATAATGACAACGTGAAAGAAGTTCGTTTTTAAATCTTTGCATTTTATTAAAAATAAAAAAAAACACATGTACATAAGTATTTACAGCTTTTGCTCAATACTTTGTTGAAGCACCTTTAGCACCAATTACAGCCTCAAGTCATTTTGAGTATGATGCTACAAGCTTGGCACACCTATTTTTGGGCAATTTCTCCCATTCTTCTTTGCAGTACCTCTCAAGCTTCATCAGGTTGGATGGGGAGTGTTGGTGCACAGCCATTTTCAGATCTCTGCAGAGATGTTCAATAGGTTTCAAGTCTGGGCTCTGGCTGGGCCACAGCAGGACATTCATAGAGTTGGCCCGTAGCCACTCCTTTGTTATGTGGGCTGTGTGCTTAGGGTCGATGTCCTGTTGAAAGATGAACTGTCGCCCCAGTCTAAGGTCCAGAGCTCTCTGGAACAGCATGATGCTGCCACCACCATGCTTCAATGTAGGGATGGTATTGGCCAGGTGGTGAGCAGTGCCTGGTTTCCTCCAGACATGACGCTTGGCATTCAGCCCAAAGAGTTCAATCTTTGTTTAATCAGACCAGAGAGTTTTGTTTCTCATGGTCTGAGAGTCCCTCGGGTGCCTTTTGGCAAACTCCAGGTGAGCTGCCTTTTACTTAGGAGCGGCTTCCATCTGGCCACTCTACCATAAAAGCCTGATTAGTAGAGTGCTGCAGAGATGGTTGTTCTTCTGGAAGGTTCTCCTCTCTCCACAGAAACGCTGGAGCTCTTTCAGAGTGACCATCGGGTGCTTGGTTACCTCCCTGGCTAAGGCCCTCCTCCCTCGATCACTCATTTTGGCCAAGCGGCCCGCTCTAGGAAGATTCCTGGTGGTTCCAGACTTCTTCTATTCATGGATGATGGAGGCCACTGTGCTCATTGGGACCTTCAATGCTGCAGACATTTTTTTTATACCCTTCCCCAGATCTGTGCCTTGATGCAATCCTGTCTTGGAGGTCTACGGACAATTCCTTGGACTTCATTGCTTGGTTTGTACTCTGACATGCACTGTTAACTGGGAGACTTTATATAGACTGGTTTATGCCTTTCCTAATCATGTCCAGTCATCTGAATTTCCCACAGGGAGACTCCAATCAAGTTGTGGAAACATCTCAAGCATGATTAGTGGGAACAGGATGCACTAGAGCTTAATTTTGAGTGTCATGGCAAAGGCTGTGAATACTTATGGGCATGTGTTTTTTTTTTCATGTTTTATTTTTAACAAACTGCAAAGATTTCAAAACGAACTTCTTTTATGTTGTCATTATGGGGTGGTATTTGTAGAATGTTGAGGGAAAAAAGTGAATTTAATCCATTTTGGAATAAGGCTGTAACATAACAAAATATGGCAAAAGTTAAGCACTGTGAATACTTTCTGGATGCACTGTACATGTGCACATGGCAAAATAGACACCTGCTGTAAGTTGAAATTTTCAGTGAAAAAATACATTTGGGTCTCTAAGCCTCCATTAATGGGAGATGTCTCTGCTGATTGAAGATCTGTTATTACTCTGTGTTGTTATGCTGTTTACATGCAATTTAAGACCGTAACCGTTAAATTGATGATGCATATGTTACTGTGAGATATATTGCTGTACATTGCAGGTTTTGACTCATTTCATGCTTTGCTGAAATATTGACTCTCTTTATTTTTTTTCTAGGGGTCTTCTAACGGAGAAGGCAGCCCCATTAATGAACATTATACATAGCATTTTCAGTCTTATCTTGAAGTTCCGTATACAGCTCATCTCTCAGCCATGGGTTTGTGACAAGGAAAAGCAGATGGCTAGCCACCCTAACTACACACTAATGCAGCAGTCTTACAATACTTTCAAGTATTACTCTGACTTTTTGTTTGAAGGTAAGTCTAATGCCCACATGTTCTGTTCTATTATAAACAGTTTGGACTTTTGTTCTTAGAATATCCTTAATCACAGCTTTCTAAGTACACCAGCCACAAACTTGGGCTGATGTGAGTTTACGGGGTTACAGGTTTCAGTAATAACCACCTACCACAATAATCAGTAAATCTACTAGAGCTGCAACTAATGATTATTTTCATAATTGATTAGTTGGATGATTGTTTCGATTAATCAGATAAAAACCTCCAAAAAAGTTTGGTGTATAATGTAGTTAATATGTAAGGTTTAAAAAAAATGTATTCTTACATATACTATTAGAGGTTGAATCTTTTACATATGATCAGACTCAGAGATCAAATTTTTATTTAAAGAAAAAAAAAATTTGTTTTAGAAACCTAAAACTGTTTTGCAGATTTCAAACAAGACTGTAATATTATGCATGACAGACTCTCTTGTCATAGGCTGGTAGCTTGACAGCGCCTGCAGTCACTTTTTTTTTTTTTATACTTCATGTACCTAGGCATGAGTACTAAGCTCATACTCACCTGACCCGCCAATCCTACAGAAAACTACGCTCCCCCACAGTCCAGCGGTGGACTGTTTCTGTCTCTGGAGCGTGGATTGAGCATTATTCTGACTCAACTAAGAGGCCATAAACTTTATCTTCAGCCATGTATACAGCTATACCACGTGGTGTTGAATTTATCTCTTGCATCGGGTCAGATAGTTTAACTCAATTAATAAACTCACATGTTGAGGAAATCAGATGAGGAAACCCATTCGAATATTCTGTTTAATGGAGAATATCATAGGTAGAAAAACGTTAATGTTGTAGCCTCATGGAAAGATGCATTCGGTCAGACAGGATACAGTGGAATGATTACAGAGAGAGGTAGGGGGGAGGAGTATACACAAGCACCGTGAGAGAAAGAGCTCAGCTTAGACAGAAGGAGACAGCTTAAAGAAACAGAGCAATAATAAACAAGTGATGGTCTCAAAGAAATAATAAATCAAATAGTGTAACACAACAAGCATGCTGACGTCAGGAACAGCCCATTTACAAGACTCATGGGCGGCTGGAGCCGAAAGGAATGGTCTTGTGCTGGGAGAATTGGCGAGTCAGGTGAGTATAGCTTTGGTGTCCTCTCCTCAAGAACAAAACGAGCATTTGACCCTTGTAGTGCCGTTCCATTTTTTTTTTAAATCCTTTCTATTTTTTTGTATTTTTCCTTCCCTTATTTAATCAAACCATGTTACTGAAGGTGATTCTTTTTAAACTATTACTTTATTTTGTTAACTGTTGTTAATATGGTAACTTTCAATAAAATATTATGCAACAGGAAAAAAAAAGACATTGTTAGCAGCAGCATACTTTTCTAAAATCACCTGTCAAGATGTGGTAAAAAAAAAAAAAAAAAAAAAAAGCCCTTTATAACACACACACTTTTTTTAAATAAATTCTAAAGGCTGAGCTTTTTTTTTAAGGATATAATTATTTTAAATATGGGGCAGCACAGTGGCTAAATGGTTAGCACTTCCGCCTGACAGTACTAGGGTCGTTGGTTCGAATCCCAACCACCTGCCTGGAGTTTGCATGTTCTCCCTGTGCCTGTGTGGGTTTCCTCCAGGTACTCCGGTTTCCTCCTACACTCCAAAGACATGTTGGTAGGTTAATTGGATCCTGTCTAAATTGGTCCTAGTATGTGTATGTATGAATGTGAGTTAGGGACCTTAGATTGTACGCCCCTTGAGGGTTAGGGACTGATGTGAATGTACAATAAATTAGTTCTAAAGGCTGAGCGTAAATTGACGGCGCTATATAAGTACCTGAAATAAATAAATATGCACAATGCTGGTAACTTTTACTTTAAAGCGATTCTTTCTTTTTTTTTGTAAAATAACCATTATGTCTATACACACCTGTGGTGTGTAGTGGTTTTGCACAGAGCAGCCTAGACCCTCCTCTTCTCGGGTCCCCCGCAGGTTCTCCTGGCTCCTCCTGTCTGTTGGGTGCCCCCATAGCAAGCAGCTTGCTATTGGGCGCACCCGCTGTGTGTCCATTCACATACGGAGCCATGGTTTGGCCCCACCCCTCTCTCTCCTCATTGGCTGACTGGCTGTGATTGGCAGCAGTGGCAGCCAATGGCTCCTGCTTGTGGTGTCAGCCAATGAGGAGGCAGAGACCTGGAACCGTCGAGGCTGTGATTCACATTGCTGGATCGTGATGAGGCTCAGTTAAGTATTAAGGGGGCTGGGGGAGCTGCTGCACACAGGTTTTTTACCTTCATACATAGAATGCATGAAGGTAAAAACCCTCGAGCCTTTAGAACCACTTTAAATTTAATTGCATTCTTTATGTAGGCCAACTAATCGATTATGAAAATAATTGACAACTATTTCCGTAGTAGATTATAATCTAAAATCTACAGATATAAGCAACTGAAGCTATACGCAAATCTCAATTTGTGAAATGCAGTTGATCAATAAGGTAAACACATTAAAGTACCAATGGAGAAGTTTGGGAGGTGAGAATGGCTAGGGTTTTACAGAAAAAGTTGAGATCGGCATGCAACGTCAGCTGCGTGTACCTCTGGATATGCTGATCATTCTAACACGTGTTTATTACTGAAAGTAACTTTTAATATCAGAAAAGAACTGTCAAAAGTCCTGCGTAACAAGCTAATGGAACTTCATAAAGATGGAAGAGGACATAAAAAGATGTCTAAAGTCTTGAATATGCCAATCAGTACTGTTAAATAACCTATTAAGAAGTGGAAAGTTCGGGGATCTCTTGATACCAAGCCAAGTACAGATACACCAAGAAAGATTGCAGCCACAATTGCCAGAAGTATTGTTCGTGATACAAAGAGAAACCCATAGGTAACCACAAGAAAAATACAGGCTGCTCTGGAAAAAGACAGTGTGGTTGTTTTAAAATAGTTATATAGTCCGGCTGAAAAAAGACAAAAGTCCATCCAGTTCAACCATAGAAAAAAAAAAAGTTATAATCCTATACCCACAGTTGATTCAGAGGAAGGCAAAAAAAAAAATCCAGCAAAGCATGATCCAATTTACACCTGCTGCGAAGAAAAATTCCTTCCTAATCCCCCAAGAGGCAAATCGGATATTCCCTGAATCAACTTTACCTAGAAATGTTAGTATCCAGTTATATTCTGTGTATCCAAGAAAGAATCCAGGCCTTTTTTTTTTTTTTTTAAAGCAATCCACTGAGCTGGCCAGAACCAACTCTTGAGGGAGTCTATTCCACATTTTCACAGCTCTCACTGTGAAGAAACTTTTCCGTGTTTTGAAGCTTACATTTATTTTCCTCCAGACGTAAAGAGTGCCCCCTTGTCCTTTGTGTTGAAGGAGCACAATATAATGACACTTGAACAAAAATGAGCTGCATGGTCGAGGTGCCAGAAAGAAGCCTTTACTGCATCAATGACACAAGAAGGCCTGGTTAGGCCTTTCAAGGTGTTGTCAAGCATAATGTAACCGGGCTTTTTTGTGGCATTGATGCAGTAAAAGCTCCTTTCTGGCACCTTGACCAAACAGCTCATTTTTGTTCAAGTATCACCGTATTGTACTTATTAAAAACAACCACACCATCTTTTTCCAGAGCAGCATATTTCTTTTGAGGTTGCCTGTGGGTTTTTCTTTGAATCCCAGACAATTCTTCTGTCATTTATGGCTGCAATTTTTCTTGGTCTACCTGACCTTGGCTTGGTATCAATAGATCCCCGAACTTTCCACTTCTTAATAGGTGATTTGATACCAAGCCGAAGTCAGGAGCTTCAGCTTTTGAATGGAACTCCGCTTTAAAGTGTTACTAAACCCACAACAGTAAAATCAGTCTGTATATGCAGGAAAGCATGCTTGTTATACTCACTGCGGAACCTAAGGGGTCAATCCTCTGTTATCTCCTGATAAGACAGACTGAACCTGTAGCCACATGCTTCGTTTAGTGTGTATTGCAAGAAAGGGTTTTTTCTTTTTTTTGTTAATTAAGGGGTAAATTCTCTGTATTGTGTAAAAACACAGTTTGATCCTGACTTCTCTGATCCTCCCCAGTTCTTAGCGCCTGCTAAGCCATATCGTGTGGAGTCACTCTGCACATGCTCAGTTTATTGGGTATTGCTAGAGGGTTTTTTTTTTCTTGGGAGAGTGCATGTGATCAGCACAGGCCAATCAGCACTGTCCAGGCAGAGATCAGGGGTCCTGCATCCTCCTAGAACAAAATGAAAACTCCTCCTACAAGCTTTAACATGAGCTCGGCTGGACACTGATAGAAGTCACAAGACTGCTCTAATCGAAGAATAGAAAGAGTATTTAGTTTATAGTTACTAACATAATTGCACTTCCATGTTCCATGTACTGTAGACCAGATCTAGTCAATGCAGGGTCCTGGGTTTAGTAGCACTTTAAGCAGGAGCCATATCACACTTGTAATCGACGGTAAGTTTCCTTTATGGGATGGTTCCTCTGCACACCTTGCTGGGTACACTTGAGACATAGAGGAGCTCAGCTTAGTAGTTATGTCATTAATGGTAATAAACAAATCACTGTTACAAAATAAACTGCTTTTTTTTGTATTCTAGTGGTAACCAAGCTTGTAAATCGAGGATACCAGCCACATCTGGAAGATTTCTTACTGCGGATTAACTTTAACAATTACTACAAAGAGAACTGAATGAACAGAGACTGGTTATATATATGTGCAGTATAAATGTATAATAAATAAAATAAATGTTTTGGTAAATACCTACGTCTTCATATTTTGTTACATAGGGTGTTTATTTTGACTGGCTGCATCTCTAGTGACAGTAACAAAGTGCTGCGTACTGTTGTTGGCCTACAAATGACAGCATTAGTTTGTGTCATTTGTGGATTCACAGAGAACAGCTCTGGCGCTTTTCATATGATTTCAGACAAGCAGGCTATACCAGCTGCCTTAGAAGGGACATGCCTGTATGTCTTTAGCTGCACTGAATTCCAGCTACATATGACACACAATAATGCGGCTTTGTATTAATTCTTTATTAAATGTATTTTTAATTGCCACTAGTTTAGGTACCTGATTTTGACTTGGTGGTAACCTCTTGCAATCCCCTATACATCTGCACTTTGGGAGAGGCGAAGGCAGGACTGGCTGCCATTTAGATGTGCTGCATACAAGTGTATTGGGAAGAACCTGATAATAGGAGTGAGCAGAGAGATGACTTCACCAGTCTGCTGCTGCTCTTTACATAGAAAATTAGCTGGCTGAGAGTTGGGAGAGGACATTGTTGGTATTGTAACCGTAAGTGTTGTTATATGTCCAGCTGTACCAAGTGGCAGGGCTGTGAACTGGATGGACAGAAATCCAAATCCTTTGTCAGGTAAAACAGTTCCTCATGTATGTATTTCATTTGTATATTCAATGGTTTGCCTTGAGTTCAGCTTCAACACATGGCTGAAGACTAAAACTGTAGCTGTCTTTAATAATTCTGATTCGAAATGAATCTGTATGGTACTAAACAAGGGTGTGAATCAGCACACTGTGATAAATATAGCTTGGTGGCACCAGTAGGTATTTTGCATTAGGGCTTGTTTTCACATGCAGCAATCCTTGCTGCCCCTCTGAAAAACAATCAGCAGTGGGTGGCTTTTCAGAAGGCAGCTGGGATGCTATATGTTGTGGCCTCACAACTTGTTTTAACACTCAGTAGGCCGTGAACTGGAATGTGTTGCGTTTGGTAACACTTGCCTGCTGCATGTGTCAGCTGGGTTATTTATTCTGTACAGCCCTAAGTGGTGCCTGTCTTGTTTACATGGGTGGTAAACCCAGTTTTACCACCCCTGGCAGCATATCTGAACAGGCACTTACAGTTCTTTCCTGAGGAGGGGCGTATTTAGCTGTTCCTATGTGTGATATTGCACTGTGAGGATTCTCACTTTCTTCGTATATCTTGTTTGCAAGATGGTTACCGGATTAAGTAAACTCATTTCGGTCATGGAATTTTCCTTGACTATTTTTGTACAAGGTTCCCTCTGGGGTCCTGATCTCCTGGGGCCTTGTACCTAGTATGTTATTCTGGGGAGCACATCACTTTGTTGGTCTGTTTCTTCCTTATCAGGTAGTTACGCTGTTCCAATTGCTTTGGTGGGTTCTTGGATTCACGCCTCTGACTGGTTCAGGCTGTGTTCCCTCGGGTGGAGTCTTTCTTCTTTGGTGGTGATTTCTTTTGTTTTTCTCTCCATGTCTTGCAGGGGGCTTCCACTCATCTGGATCAGATTTAGGTGCCGGTTCTTCAGGCAGTTCAGGTCTGGAGACCGTGTGCATTCCCTTGGTTTGGGTCTGTGGCTGTTCCCAGCTCCTCAGTTGGACTCCTTTTAGATGTCCAAATTGTTTCTGATTTTTGGTGTCCTTCAATGAACAAGAAAGACTTTTCTACTTGTCATAAAATCTTTTCCCCAAAGTCCATTGAGGAACACAAGTCTCACACTTCCGTTTTTTTGTTTTTTGCTTTGCCCTTGGTACAACTTTTTTTTTTTACCAAAGCATGCTGGGCAGAAGATGAGTTATGCGGGGATGGTTTTTAATTTTTTTGTTTGCTAGTGAGTTATACTCCAGCCTACAGGAAGTTAAAACAAACATTTCTGAAGTCCCTTAATGGTCTCTAAGACATAGTGCAAAAAAAAATAAAAATAGGATTTGACTTGGAGGATGATATATGATCTTAGTTTTAGACCATGGATTATATGCTGAGGCCTTTAGGTGATGGGACACTGGCAAAGATGTAAGGACAGCCCCAAATAAAACCCCTTCCAGTTTTGTAGAATTTAATAAGGAGTGATTTACAGGCACGTTACATACTCTATTTTCTTAGTCTCACATGGCAGCATATAGGGTCTTAGACCATGGAATGCCTATAAGCAATTCAACTGAGGGGTGAGCAACACAGCAAAATAAATAACAGGCTCAAGACAAGGGCTCAGCAGGACTCAGAGGAGCTTGAAGCACCTTATGATCAAAGCTGGCATCAGATGAGGCCTGAACATCCACCTAGTAAGACTAGCAAATCTGGAAAATAGATGTCTGATGCTAATAAATCCATGAAGCACTAACCAATTTAGTTGAGTGTGCCTTGAAAGGGAAGGAAGGAACCCCTATCTTTAAGACTATAGGCTCAACTAATGACATCAGAATATTATGTGGACCGCACATAAATTAGGTGCATTAAATTTGACAATACAGGAGTAATATTGCTTCACATATACAAAGTGAATAATTGTAACATTCAGTCCCAATTCAGAAAAATAAAGTGCCCAAGTGTTGAATACTAATTGGTGAACTTCGTGCAAAAATGACAGGTGCTCCTCTGTGCTCAATTGGTGCCCCACATGGATGTGTACTCACCGTTAGCCGTGGACCACCTATCTCTAGGTTCATTTTAAGCACCTGGTTTGGGACTAGCCCAATGCATGATGGCAAGAATGGCACCAATATTAATTCTTGGGAATCATGCGATCTGGCTGAGAGTAACCAATAGGATGATGACCAGCATGGATATAAATGACAGTGTAGTTTCAAAAGAGACTTTGTAAACTTTCTCCTCTCCTCCTAGGCAGTAAACCAAGTTTCAGCATGTGAACAGAAACAAAAGCAAACATCTCATAGCGTAAAACCATAAAAAAAACTTTGCTTGTGAGTTTTATTATAATTTCTCCCCATCAAAGTGCCCATAACCTGGCACTCAGTGTATTCAGCCTTGCTGCCTGTGAATAGGAACAAAGATGGCTGCAGTGTTCCAGCGTGCATTCCAAAGGGCGGAAATGACATCAGTGGAAGTTGCTTCATCAAACCTCGACCGGTTTCAATCAATGGATCATCATCAGGAAGTGCACTTTTTCAAGCAACCACCACTTATTTAAAGACTGAACCATAGGCGTGCACATGCTCAGTTTGGTGTATATTGCTAGAGAGGGTTTTTTTTTTTTTTCTTTTCTTCCTTGGGAGAGTGCTTGTGATCAGAACAGGGCCAATCAGCACTGTCCAGACAGAGGTCAGGGGATTTCCATCCTCCTAAAGCAGAAAGAAAACTCCTACAAGCTTTAGCTAGTCCTCGGCTGGACACTGATAGAAGTCACAAGACTGCTCTAACTACTGATGAGAAAAGGTATTTAGTAGTTTATATTTACTAAAATAATTGCATTTCCATGTTGTGTGTACTGTGGGAGACCAGATATAGTGAATGCAGGGTCCGGGGTTTAGTAACACCTTAATGTGAATATTTTAAATATTTGTTGATATTACCGAAGGCACTGAGTTTTTATATGCTTTTGTTTTGCGTGAAAAGGAGAGGTGGATGGCATGATTTAACCCTTATGGGGGGGGGAAGGCTCATTATAACCTTTATATTATATTAAAGTGAGAGCACAACATGGGAGAAGAGTTAGCACAAGGTGATGGACAGTGTTTTGTGGTGAATTATATGAAAATTTCAGTGATCTGGATATCACAGGAGGACTTGGAAATTATCGAGCATATTGTTTTTCTTTTTACACTTTATCTGGGGAGAAGTACAAACACATTAGTGATTATTATTTGATGCACAATATCATTATGATTTATTTACACAGGAACATGTGATTTATGTAATGATTTGTTCACATTTGGTAGTGGTGAACAGAGAAGTCAGCCTTGCAGTGAGAGTAGCAGTGAATGTCCCTAATAGCTTCAAATGGCAGTTCCTGAAGGACTGAGCAAACCAGGTTGGGAGCTTTCACTAAGGAGTGTGAGGCAAGCACACCTTGAAGGTATCAAAGGCCAAATGATGATCCAGACTAGATTAGAGGAAAGATGGGATTCACCCCACAAAAGTACTTCCTGGAAAATGGTATTTCCTAGCCCATCACCACACGGATGTGATTGCAGACCTTGTGTGAAGGCGACCTCCTAGCCTTTAAAAGTATAGGGAAGACCAACTCTGAAAAACCCTGTCCTTCAGGGTATGAGCTTCAACAGCCAAGATGTTAAAGTAATTGACAATCAGGATGGTGGACCTGCCCCGGAGATAAGGTTCAGATAATCCAAGAGGGCACACAGACAGTCAGCCAGGAACCTGTGCATGTCTGAGTAGCACAGGCTTCTGGCCTTGAACAATGAGGAATATCTGAATGTTGATCTATATGAATCTCTGCACTATCAATTGGATATAGATTGACAGGGACTGAACTGATTGTTCCTTTAGCAGGAGGTGAGCTTCTGGAATCTTTCCTACTCTGGAAGGAGCTGCTTGAAAGCAGTGTAGTGTCAAATCTGCAGGCAGGAAGACAAGTTTGACAGCATGAAAATGGGGACAGCAGAGCTGAAAATTCTAGTTTGGGCCCCCAATGTAATCAAAAGGAAACATATTAGATTTCCTGGGACGAGATGGCTATGAAGGCCAACAGATACCCCACACTTTTACAAATGAGAGGCACCTCCTTATAGCGAAGGGGCAGGTTTTGAGGCCTAGGTCTTATGATGGAAATGGGTTCCAGGTTTGGGCTTAGACTCAGAGGAACAAAATAGCCTCATTCTGGGTATTTATCAGTGTGTATCTGCTAATCCATCAACCCAGCAGTACAAAGCTACAGAGAAAAGTTCCAGCTGTTGAAGTATAGCTGGATTCTTAAAATGAGATGGAGGAGGGCCCTAGTCTTGTTTTTGGAGTAGATATCTAAAGTCTGGCAGACAGACATGGTTGCATAGCAGGCCCAGCCAGGGAGAATAAAGCTTTTAGTAGGACTTCTAACCTTTTGTCCAAGGATCATGGCATATGTGTGCAGTTGTGAACAGTAAGTAGGCTTGTGTTCCATTTAACCATTCCCATGTAAGCCACACTGCCATCACAATAAGGCCAGGCTTACCATGCCCTATTTTACCATTGTCCTAATCAAGGTTTCAAGTCTCTCATAATCCCAGCAACATCCATGTTCAGTATACATGTTAGTTTTCTTTCTATATAAATGATGCTTATAGGTAATGTAACTGTTCCTGTAAGTGCAGCACAGAAGCCTCCTTAAAATCACAAGAACTATTTGCTTACATTTATATACCTTGGAATACTTTTTTCTCTACATTAGCCAAAAAAAAAAAAGCTCTGCTGCTCACAAGTAACCCAGTCCCATTACACACAATTTTTAAGCAGATCAACAGCATCCAAGCAATAGACAGGATGACTAATGTTGCAGGCTTGTGGTGATGCTGCTTGAAGTCGGGCAATGTAGTGTAAACCCCGTTGATGCTCTGAAAAAGGGAGCGGACATCCTGACACTTATTCAAGAGTGTGAAATCACAAAGGAAGATAGACGCCACTCAAACTGACCCACATGCATTGAGTGAAGAGTGTCCGTGGTAGCCTCAGCTGAGGTCAGTATGGACACTCTTCAGGATGACTAATGCTATATTTCTACCACACAGGAATTAAACATTGATCTTTAATTAGTATGATAAGCCTTACTCAACTCTTCAAAGTCTGATTGTACAATCTCCATTAGCTCAGCCCACTATGTAGTGAAAATGCCTGCTCATTTTACACATTTACCAACACTAAAGATGATTGTATAAAAAAATTGTATGGTCAAAAATGCAACATCTACGGTGAGCTTAAAAGTGGTTCTGTTACCTATTACAAAACAAGGAATCTGGTTACTCTGGACAATGACGACACTCTAAATATAATTTCTCCAACTTTCATAGGTGCTCAGTGCTATGAGACTTCAACATCATATGTCAGTATTACAATAGGTGGGATTGAGAAAATGCAATTCAAAGTCAAACATCACATTTTCATGTGTAATACATTTTTGTTATGCAGCATAGCATCTTTAAGTAAGAAGCTGACACGCAATATTTTTGGCTCAGAACCACTTTCTTTTAGGACCATGGAAATTAATGGTAAAACACAAGAATTGCACATATCACGTTTTTTTTGAACATATATAGTATACACCAAGCAAATTCTCTATAAATAATAACCCTCAATTTACCTAATTAATATTGGAGCAACAGTGACCTCTGACTAGATTGCAGCAATGGGATACACTGATTTTTTTAAACAGGAGTGTATTTGTCAGGACTGTCTGTAACAGTGCCATACTGTTCTTTCCCACTGCGCTCAGGGGGACTTAACACAAGGTAAAAAAACGTTGTAAAAATAAATAGAGATTCCCTTTCAGCCTGGGATTTCATTGGTGTGGGTGCACACATAAAATGTAATTCTGTAATTCAATCCCATCCATGTGACACATTAAAAAGTGACAAGAAGAGCAGAGTGGTCTTCCAACAAAGTTCAATAAATAGATAAGGTCTTGGAGCCCCCCCCCCCCCCCATCAAATGCACATTAAAAAAAAAAACCAGTACTGAAAATGATAATTTTACGATTGTTTATTTTGAAATTGTGTTTACCATGTAAATGAACTGAACACGAAGGCTATATTAATGTTCTTACGCGTATAGAAATGTACTTAGCATTGAACATTTTTTGGCATAAAAGAACAAATGAAAACATTTTTTAAATAGAGAGACTCAGACCAATATACCTTTACCCTTAATCACCTGATGTTTCAAAGCACAGACAACACCAATTTTAAATGATCTCCTAAAGGTTCACCATTGGAACATATTACATGTTCCAGTCCTGTCCCCTCTCCCCCTGATTCCTCCCACCCCCTTCCTCAGTGTGACAACACACAGGGATTCTTCTCCCCTCACCCACTGTCACTTTTTAAAAATACTGGGGCTCTACCCACACAGCCATATCATTCATAGGAATCTACGGCCGATGGACTTGAAGTTTGAATGAACTGCAGGCCCACTGATCAGCACACACTGCCTACAGATCTGAAAAGGACAGCCTGTACAGATGTTAGGGCAACAGAGCTGTAAACAGTGTGTTTAGGAGCCTAACATTCCAGATCTCAGGTGTAATACTTTGCAGGCTACGGTTTTTTAAAAAAAAAAAATAATTCACTTTTTTTTTTTTTTTTTTTTTTTTACCTTAGCCTTTAAAAGGAACCTAACCTAAAACATGCACACCGCTGACTTCTGGATCATCAACCCTGGACAAGTATTTGATCTCAACTTGCATACTATTGCCGACTTGAAATACTGAAGCCAGAGTCAGCCAGACATGCCTAGCATTTTCACAAGGGGATCAGCAATGGAGGATTCCATATTTATCTCATGATGGTTATCTATTAAAGTGAATTGAACTGTATATAAAAAAAAAAAAAAATTGCTATCAGGCAGATTCTTTATTCCAGAAGAGATGGAGCTCGTCTCTTCTGCAATAAACCATACTTACCTACCTAGATCTTTAGAACGTACAATGAGATGCATATTGTATATTCTTGGTACAAAAATGAATGAAAAACTCCTGTGCGCATGCATGGGAGTTACATCATTCTGGCCTGGCCAATCAAGATTACTGAAGATCCCAACCCAAAATAGGACTGAGTGAAGATGTTGGTGGTGGCGATGGAGACTAGTGAAGTTCCATATTAATAGCTGTCAGCACTGCAAGGGCATGAATTACAATTGGGGAAGAAGGATCATCTGTAGTGTGTGTGACAATGAAATGGTCTAAAAAGCTTGTTATATAGCCACATACAGAAACAAGGATATCATGGCCATCTAAAATATTATCTACATTAAGCATTCAACCTGAAAGCAAAAATGTTTAAAAGAGAAGTTCTTTCATTTAGGGTCACAGGAGTGCACTTACTTTTGCTCTCCTGTGAAGTAGTCAGCTTATAGCAGGCTATTGCCTGCTGTCAGCTGATGTGACAGAGCCACTCCAGGTTCTGGAAGGATCCTGATCATGTGGTCGGGATCCACCCAGCTGCCTAACTAATGGCTAGCTCCTGGTTCTCAGCACGTGGTTGAGGGCCAAAGCCAGCTGCACCTGCCCCCTCTCCTGTCCAGCACTCCAGTGAGCACTGCAGAAGCAGAGTGGAAAGCAATAACTGACAGTCAGTGCTCCCCACTCCAAGCAGACAGAGAACTGAGCGATAAGAGGTCATGTGATTGACCAGTTCTTGGTCTTTGAGCAGACGTGGGCTACAGCATAGAGGTGGGTATGGATGTTTGTTTTTTTAATAAACCCAGTACTTCTCATTTAAGAGAAGCTTTGCCTGATGTGATTGATATAAAAACAAACAATGAATAGATCCCAAAGTTTAAAAAAAATAAAATTATTTCTGTCCTATGTTAATCTCACACTGTACCTTATTTCACACACTACACTTGCCTGTTTGAACAAGGCAATAAACTCAATACAGTCTGCTCATGAATCTGCTGTTTTATGGTAATCAATATATATATATAAATGACAATGTCCTCCACCTATCTTTGTAACAAGGTACAGTCTGTACAAAAGGCACACAGTAAGCAGCAAAAAAATTACCTGAATATGTCCATTAAATGCAATTGTTTCACTTTTCAATTGCAACATTTTGTGCGTATAAAAGCGTCAAGTCCATCATATCTTTTAAATTAGTGCTCCTACTGTGATGACTTACGTAATGCTAAAACATGCAACAAACACTACAGTGGTTAACATCAGGCCAAAATACATCATATTCCTGAATTTATATTTTTGCCGTCATGTACAAATTACATTTGGATTCTATAGGTTTTAGTGGCAAATAAATATTCTGTAACAATATTTTCTCCAATAGCCCATTTGCACATGGGGCTGCCTAGCTGCTGTGCGTTCCTCCTAGCATTTCAAAGCGTTCATTCCTAAAATGCGAGTACCACTAGGTATAGCGTTCAGCCCTGTCCAGCCACAGCCTTCCATAGACTTGGACAGGCTGCAGGCATCGGGGCTGGATGCTGCAACTGTGCCACAAGTGCGCACTAAAATGCCAGGAGGGACACACAGCAGCTAGATGCCCCCCCAAGCACAAGAGGCCTTCAATGGTTAGGTTTCCAAGAATCCAAATGTAGTTTAAAAAACACTATATGTGCTTGTTAGAATTGGCCTTGTTGAGTTTTTTTTCTGCAAGAAAACAGAAGGTGACCAACAACAAGGCTTTTATGAAGATCAGGTGACACATAGCTCTGTAGCCCAAAGTGGAGGTTTGCTGCTGTACGGAAGTCTGGAAAGAATTTTGGGCCTACAGACAGCAGAAGCGCAAGCTTCCAGACGTTCTTCTTCAGCAAGCTCAGGGATTTCTTCACTTTCCTCCACTTCATAAGGATTTTCCAGAACCTTCAGGACATGCCTCACCTGGTGATCAATTTAAATACCATACATTTAGAAAAACAGACTGCCTTCCAGGTAAAGTCCCTTACATGTAAAACACATATCAATTTAACACTGGCATTAGGGACAAAGAAGGTTTGGTACAGAAGTAAACTTTTAGTGAGGTTAAAGAAAACATTCTAGATAAGTCTGAGGACTGGCACTGCCAACAATAATCATTTTTTGTAAAATAAACCCATCTGTGCCCATACAGAATGCAGCAACAGGTTTGCTTTGATGCTCCCTTCCAGCAGCAGATACAAAAGTGTTAAAGTTTTGCACAAGTAATACCTATCCATAGGCAATGCATTAAAAGCCTTTACAGGTTACCAGTTTAGAGAGTTAAACAGGTCTGGTGCTAGAATTATTGCTTTCACTCTGGCATTCACGATGATACGTCCCATGTGTGATGCGATCACCGTTTACATATGTATGTGGGGCCTACATATATATTTGCATGGGATCAGAGGAAGCTTTATTTTTATTTTCTTCACATTTTTACACTGTTTCTTTCAATTTTTTTTTGATCATCTTCATTGCTATCACAAGGGATGAACTGCATCTCCTGTAATAGCATGGGCAGTGACAGGTACTCTTTATTGAGTGATCTTGGGCCTATTAGACCCCAGATCTCTCCTTTTGTCCTCAAAAGCAGGGGGTCTGACGTCTAAAAAGTACCCAATAGAGGTGGCCAGGAAAACTATTGTTTCCAGCAGACATAGATGCAAGCGTATGAGCAAACCATACTGTTGGGGCAAGAATACTTTTAAGTACATTTTACCCATCATATTTGCATTTTTCCCATGCTGCAATGACAAGTAAAAATGTTTAAGGTTTAGGTATTTCGATGCACCAGGCTGTGGACTGAAGTGAACTTATCTTTAGTAAAACAGGGAATTGTTTGTATACCATCATCTATGAGGGTGAAAGACTTCATTATTACTGCTACATACATTAAGATACATTTAATCACAACTGATAGGAAAGTAATACAGTTGCAAGAAAAAGTATGTGAACCCCTTGGGATTACGTGGAGTTTTGCATGAATTGGGCATAAAATGTGCTGTGAACGACATCTAAGTCACAACAATAGAAGAACACAGTCTGCTGAACATAATACTACACAAACATTAGATGTTGCCATGGTTTCATTGCACATAACATGTAAACATTCACAGTGCAGGGAGGAAAAAGTATGTGAACCTTTGGCCTTAATAACTGGTTGACCCTCCTTTGGCAGCAATAACCTCAACCAAACGTTTCCTGTAGTTGCAGATCAGACCTGCACAACGATCTGGAGTCATTTTGGACCACTCCTCTTCACAAAACTGTTTTCAGTGTAGCAATATTCTTGGGATGTCTGGTGTGAATTGCTCTCTTGAGGTCATGCCACAGCATTTCAATGGGGTTGAGGTCAGGACTCTGACTGGGCCACTCCAGAAGGCGTATTCTGTGCTGTTGCAGCCATTGTTTTGTTGAATGACTTGTATGCTTTGGGTCATCATTGTCCTGTTGCATCACCCATCCTCTGCGGAGCTTCAGTTGGCGGACAGATGGTCGTACGTTTTCCTGCAAAATGTCTTGATAAACTCTGGAATTCATTTTCCCATCAATGACAACAATCCGTCCAGGCCCTGAGGCAGCAAAGCAGCCCCAAACCATGATGCTCCCTCCGCCATGTTTCACAGTGGGGATGAGGTTTTGATGTTGGTGTGCTGTGCCTTTTTTTCTCCACACATAGTGTTGTGTGTTCTTCCCAAACAACTCAATCTTGGTGTCATCTGTCCACAGTATATTCTGCCAGTAGTGCTGTGGAACATCCAGGTGCTCTTTTGCAAACTTCAAACGTGCTGCAATCTTCTTTTTGGCCAGCAATGGCTTCCTCCGTGGTGTCCTCCCATGTACTCCATTCTTGTTTAATGTTTTCCTTATTGTAGATGTGTCAACAAAAATGTTAGCATGTGCCAGAGATTTCTGTAGGTCTTTAGCTGACACTCTGGGATTCTTCTTTACCTCATGCAGCATTCTGCGCTGTGCTCTTGCAGTCATTTTTACAGGACGACCACGCCTAGGGAGAGTAGCAACAGTGCTAAACTTTCTCCATTTGTAGACAGTCTGTCTTACCGTGGACACATGAACATCAAGGCTCAAGGAGATACTTTTGTAACCCTTTCCAGCTTCATGCAAGTCAACAATTCTTGATCGTAGGTCTTCTGAGAGCTCTTTTCTGCGAGGCATGGTTCACATCAGAGAGTGCTTCTTGAAACCAGTAAACCCAAAACAGGTGTCAGCAACACATCCAATATCATCACACTGATTGGAGTCAAGGTTGGCTCACTCCTGGCTCCAATTAGCTCTGGGAGAAGTCATTAAGCTAGGGCCTCACATACTTTTTCCTCCCTGCGCTGTGAATGTTTACATGTTATGTGCAATTAAACCATGGCAACATCTAATGTTTGTGTAGTATTATGTTCAGCAGACTGTGTTCTTCTATTGTGACTTAGATGACATTCAGAGCACATTTTATGCCCAATTCATGCAAAACTCCACGTAATCCCAAGGGTTTCACATACTTTTTCTTGCAACTGTAACAGAGAATGAGGATACAGCTAAAATCATTACCTCTGTAAAGTCTCCATTCTCAGCTGCCTCTATGGCGTTCTGAGCTATATAATTTCTCAGGATGTGCGCTGGGTTATTGGAATTCATCACTTTTAACCCGCTCTGCATGTAAAGTCTTCATGTCTTCAGAATGTTCCTGTTCTTTCTCCAAGCGTGCACTGAAATAAAATGCAAGTTAGCAGTCTTATCATATATGGGGGAATATACACTATAACCTTTAATGGTATAAAAGCTATAATCTTTCATATTTCCAATGATGTCCTCATCCATTTACAGCATCTGTGCCCGCACTATGGACATTAAAGTGGACCTTAACTACTTGCCTAAAGACACTTTTCCCCCTTCCTGGACAGGCCAATTTTCAGCTTTCAGTGCTGTCGCAATTTGAATGACAATTGCACAAGCATGCAACACTGTATCCAAACCAAATTTTTTAGCATTTTTTTGACAGATAGAGCTTTCTTTTGGTGGTATTGCAATTATTTTTTGTTAAATTAAAAAAAAAATACAAAAAAAAAAAAAAAAAAAAAAGGTTATAAAAAAAAGTTTGTAAAATCATTTTTTTCCTTCACTAATGGGCGCCGATGAGGTGGCACTGATAGAACAGGTAGACAGCACTGATGGGTCATGACAGGCATCATTGATGATGGGCACCAATAGGCGGCACTGATAGGCAGTACTGATAGACTGCACTGATAGGCAGTACTGATAGACTGCACTGATGAGGAGACATAGATAGGCGGAACTGATGGGCATTGACAGGCATCACTAATACGTGGCAGTGATGGGCACTGAAAGGCAGCACTGATAATCAAGGCACTGATGATCAGTGCCCTGATTATCAGTGTAGATGTCCCCTCTGAGGAATGCCGCTTACCGGCTCTCCTCTTGCGCTGTCAAGTGAGGAGAGGACTGCCGATAACTGGCAATTTCTGCTAACATGTGATCAGCTGTGATTGGACACAGCTGATCACATGGTAGAGCCTACATCATCAGCTCTTTACTGTGATCGGTGATCCGCTGTGTCTTAGAGACACAGCAAACCGATTGCCACGTTGCGTGCCCCCGGAGGCGCACATGCGCAGCTAGAGTGGGAACATGTCATATGACCAAGAGAGCTCCCGCCCGTCTGTCATTTCCCTATACGGCGGGCAGAAGGCGATAAAAGTGGTTATAAAGCCGCAAGATTTTTTTATACTTCTGACTCACTAATGATGTGCCAAGGTGCCACCACTCTTGCATCCCACTCTACTGGAAACAGGCAGCTTGCCCACCAGTTTTGTTTTGGTAGTCTAGGGTCTTAGAAGCTCAAAGGATGGAAAACTTGACCTCCTCCATGCATTACCGGGAAAAACTTAATAAGCAAACTGGTGTTTACTGGAATAAACTTTTTTTCCTGAATACTATTCTTTAATCCCTGATGCTGTAAATACTCTAATCATGACTCACTAATTACAGGCACCTTTATAGTTCTCAAACTCCATACATATGTTCAGGTATGGAGAACATGCATGCAGAACATACCCAGCCATTCCCGTGTTAGGCAAATACCATATAATAGTATCTGCTCAGGATCGGAAAACGTACAATACTATTAACTAATGTATTTTAGAATTTAGCTTGCAGAGAGTATTTCAGAGTTTGGAGACCCACTGTAATGGAGAGATACTGCACAACAAGCCCACCATGGTGTTCATTGTGTATGGGCCAAAATTCCACTGGTTCAACAGTAATGTCTGTTCAATGGAATGACCGGCTTCTGTCAAAAGGTCACGATGGAAAACCAGCATCTTGAACAGTGTATTATGGTGGGATCAGAGTTCCCCCTGTCAGAACACAAGGAAGAGATCCCTGCATCAACATCACTTGTGTGAATACAGGGATCTATCATTTTTTTTCATTCAACCCACTGGTTGAAGGAAAAAAAACTCCCCAAAACTGTGTACCCAGTTGCAAAGAGCCCAGTAGACACATTCACGAACTTTCAAGGAACAGCTGAATCGGTCAATCATACAGAGTATTTAGGATGTGATACCTCCAGGGACAATAAACTAAAATGGAGCGACAAGGAACAATGTCTGTTTGCCTAGTGTCCATCCTTCCTGGGAGTAAAGCTTTATACTGATGGGTCTGCCGTGTACCCCAATGTAGGTTTGCAAAAATTTTTTTTTTGTACTAAAATATACCTATATTTCTGAAGCCACTCTTTCCAATGCTCTTGGTTATTATTCAGTAGATCCTCATCACTGGATGCCTGAAGTTTTTCAAATTTTTCAATATTTTCCAACTCTTTGTTTATGTTTGCTTTTGACCCAATCAATGCAAATAATTGAGGATTGCTCTGTGCCAGCATCAGCAACACTGAAAGTTGCCTGAAACCAGAAAAAAAAGCATGTTAGTAATGTAATTTTACGTTGCTTTTTAGTTTTCAAATCACTGCTAAAAGCAAAGAGCATTACTCTACATCAGGGTTTTTTCAGCCAGGGTTCTGTGGAACCCTAGGGTTCCTCCAGAGGTTACTAGGGGTTGCTCAGCCAATAAGCGATTTCTGCCTCTCAGATGAGTAACCACTGACACCATTGATATTTTATCTGTAATGGGAAAATTCTTCCTAATGAGCACAAATGTAAGGAGCATTCTTAACAATGACCATCACACTAATGTATTATAAGCTGTAAATATAATTATCAGGGGTTCCTTGAAGACAGAATAATTTCAAGGGTTCCTCCATGTCAAAAAAGTTAGGAAAGGCTAATTTAGGCACATTGTTAAAGAAACAATATATTTTTAGGACTATAATTTTGTAGCATGTGCCATATATTAAATCACACTGAAACAAGCGATTCCAAAAATGATCTATCACTAAATGTTTTTCATATTTTCCAACGCAGAGCTGTTTAGATATCTGCTAAAAACTTAAAGCCTAATAACATACATAAATACATGTATTTTCAAGCATTACTTGCAATTTGTTTGCTGTAAACCTCAATTCACAAACATTATCACATTATCTTAAAATATAACCTTTGGAGAACAAGTAAAAGGAGCTAGTTGAGGTGGATATAAAACAATGTATCTTCAAACACAGACGCCTGTGAAAGAAATCTGGCAATAACAAAAAAAAAAAAAAAAAAAAAAAAAAAAAAAAAAGGGGGGGGGGGGGGGGGGGGGCAGGTAATGATTAAGACACTCATCAATTTCTATAATTGTGGGTTTAAATTTTTTCTAAGATGATATAAAAATGATAGGAAATAACAAATGGAGCCAAAATAACTTAATCTTCCATCTCCAACTATCACTCTTAAGCTTGCCATACCAAGGCCTTAGTTTTTTTTCATTCAGCCAGCAGGCTAAACAACAACAAAAAAGGAAAAACGGAACCGATTCCCACATCCAAGGTGGATGCGGAAATCCTCCCTGCTGTTTCACTGTATTCTGACAGCAGAGGAGTCAGCTGGACTTCTTTGCTGTCTGAATACACTAATCCAGTGTTTCTCAACTCCAGTGCTCATGGACCCCCAACAGGTCATGTCTTCAGGATTTCCCCTCAGATGAAACAGCTGTGGTAATTACTAAGGCAGTGAAACTGATCAAATCACCTGTGCAAAATAATGGAAATCCTGAAAACATGACCTGTTGGGGGTCCATGAGGACTGGAGTTGAGAAACACTGCACTGATCAGTGCTGAAGCTTATTAAACTAAATCAAACTAAAATTTTCCAGTAAGTTTGTGCATGAGCAGATTTCTCTTTTTTTTTTTTTTTTTTTTTAAAAAGGGTTTAAACCATATAAAGTTGCCCATGGTAAGCACCACTGTCAGCATAATAGTTTATCCCAACCCCTATCATCATTTGCTAAGCAATTTGATCTGCAGGTAAATGTGGGGGTAAAAAAAAAACAAAAAAAAAAAAAAAAACGCCATGTAAAATTAAAAAAAAAAAAAAAGAAAGAAGGAATTCATATGATAAAATCTCTCATTACAGGTATTAATCCCCATACAATCACAGGAATAAAAGATTTGCTATAGCAGGTTACCAATTGAACTGCAAAAGCCACTTAGAGTTCAAGTTTAAAACGCAGTCAATGAAATCATTGAGCATTTCATTTATTATACAATGCTAGATATATTTTTATTTTACCTTGGGTCCATTTTAGGCTTGTATACAACCTTTAATTCCTCCAAGGTAGCACACTGTTCAGTGACTGTGCTCAAGAAGTCATCAATATCAGAGGAGCATCCTGAGAATTTACTGAGAACCCGGAAAGTGTTGGTAAAATCTGAGCCTAGAGCAAGACATTATTGGGGCTGAGGTCATAAGAGTACATGGTGTGTGATATGCACAACACAATTTAATCATTATCTATTACTTGTGGATTAAAGTCCACCACTGTATTGCCCTTTATGAATACCAAGATATGAACACTTGCAGAAAAATCAATAAAATAAACACCAATTGTTCAGAGAAGCCATTCAATCAGCATTTGCTAGAATACTGAACGGGTTCAAAAGGCAAAATGCATAACTAGAGTGTACAAGAAATAAAGATTTGCTTATGTATAGCATTTTCTCTCTAAATTTACATTATCCAGATAGTGAGGTGATATGTGAAATCAGAATAATGGATTTCTGTTCAGAAATGAGAAATCCCTGTCTAATGTATTTTGCACATATCCATATTTCTTCCCCTAACCAAAATTGTGACCAGTTCTCCGCATTTGCATTGTTAGAAAATGTGGTCTACTGTTCATTTGCTTTTCTGAAACCCTTTATATTAATATAATTAATGTCAACACTTCTGTGTCATAGCATGCTAAGGCTTAGCAGTTGGCTTCCTCAATCGCTGTTCTTCTAAGTACTGGAATACAAGAGATACAAGATGTTCTGCAGGAAAAGAAATCACTGGTTTAGGATCTGGCAAAACAGTGTGAAGGCGCCCTTGTATTACTACCAGAGATGTCAAGAGTTCCTCTGGGATGAAGAATCTCACCTGTAAGATTCATGGTGTCCATTAAATCAGAGATTAATTTTGCTGTCCTCCTCCAGTTCTAGTTTAGGAAGTCCCAACTTCTTCCTCATTTTCTGCATTATAGTGTCTTTGAAATTCTGCATCGTACTCTTCTTCAAGTATATTTTTACTCATGTCCAAGGAAAGCTCTGGGACCAGAGCCTCGGCAAACATTCCCAAGTTCCACTTACAAATCTCTGGCTGCTTGCTGTATGCATAACGGCCCATATTATCAGAACCATTACAGATATGATTTGGGTCATACCTAGAAAAAATTAAGAAAATACACATTGTGTGACAGTCACGTTCATGTTTCTGACTAAAAACTAGAAGCTGTTGGACAAGTGCCATAAGTCTAAGGCAGTGTTTCTCAACCTTTTTTCAGTCGAGACACCCCTTAAAATTATGGACAGTCCCAAGACACCCTTTACAATTATAAAACAGTCCTGAGGCACCCCATTCTAAAATGTGAAAAATTATTCTAATAGTTTTATATAAAACAGCAACATCCACTCATGTAGGACACCAAACATTGGAGGCGATTTATTCTTCCAAAGCAAATACACTTTTGGTACTGACTAGTTTTCCAATGTTTATTTTCTCCCTCAGTTTTTTCTCCATCACTAAGCTAATGTGACCCCAGCACTGATGGAAGGGGGGTGGGGGAGGGTCAAACTAGGATGCTGTGCAGGCAGCTGACATCCTCCTTATCAACGGACGATGTAATTGGTTGTCAGGATGCCGGCGGTTAGAAAGTCGTAATGGTGCACAATGAAAGCCTGTGGCTTTGTGTAACTAAAAGGCCTGTTCCACCTGCTGGCTTTTGTACAAGTTTTGGGCACTTTTTAGACATTTTGCCAAGGCACCCCTGAAGAAACCTCAAGGCACCCTGTTTGAGAAAGGCTGGCCTAAGGAATCACTGTCTATTAGTGGTCAATTAGGCCCAGGTCAATTGAAGAAAAAAAATTGTGTGTATAATAAAATATTAGTTGCCGATTGGAAAAGAGTTGTTACTTACCAATGGGAGATTACAAGCTTAAAAGCAGAATTCCGGGATATACCGTATTTGCCGGCGTATAAGACGACCCCCCTACTTTTCCTGCTAAAATGTAGTGTTTGGGCTATACTCGCCGTATAAGACTACCCCTCTTCCAATGCACACCAGTGGGAGGAATAGTGCCCCATCGTTGATGTCAGTGGGAGGAATAGTGCCCCATCGTTGGTGTCAGTGGGGGTGGAATAGTGCCCCATCGTTGGTGTCAGTGGGGGGTGGAATAGTGCCCCATCGTTGGTGTCAGTGGGGGGTGGAATAGTGCCCCATCGTTGGTGTCAGTGGGGGGTGGAATAGTGCCCCATCGTTGGTGTCAGTGGGGGGTGGAATAGTGCCCCATCGTTGGTGTCAGTGGGGGGTGGAATAGTGCCCCATCGTTGGTGTCAGTGGGGGGTGGAATAGTGCCCCATCGTTGGTGTCAGTGGGGGGTGGAATAGTGCCCCATCGTTGGTGTCAGTGGGGGGTGGAATAGTGCCCCATCGTTGGTGTCAGTGGGGGGTGGAATAGTGCCCCATCGTTGGTGTCAGTGGGGGGTGGAATAGTGCCCCATCGTTGGTGTCAGTGGGGGGTGGAATAGTGCCCCATCGTTGGTGTCAGTGGGGGGTGGAATAGTGCCCCATCGTTGGTGTCAGTGGGGGGTGGAATAGTGCCCCATCGTTGGTGTCAGTGGGGGGGTGGAATAGTGCCCCATCGTTGGTGTCAGTGGGGGGTGGAATAGTGCCCCATCGTTGGTGTCAGTGGGGGGTGGAATAGTGCCCCATCGTTGGTGTCAGTGGGGGGGTGGAATAGTGCCCCATCGTTGGTGTCAGTGGGGGGGGGAATAGTGCCCCATCGTTGGTGTCAGTGGGGGGAGGAATAGTGCCCCATCGTTGGTGTGTCAGTGGGAGGAATAGTGCCCCATCATTGGTATCAGTGACACCAATGATGGGGCACTATTCCTCCCACTGAGACTTGCTGACCCTGTCCTCGTATGGTGCTGCTGCAGCCAGCATATGTGGTTGCAGCAGCACCTCTACACAGAACACTTACCTGCTGCTCCGGCACTCAATTTTCGCGGGGGCCGCTCGGCTCCGCCCCCTCGCCGGTGATTGGCCGCCTGTGTGCCTTTCCTGAGCTACAGTTCTGGCGGCCAATCACCGGTGAGGAGGCGGAGCCGAGCAGCCGCCACGAACATCCAGTGGCCGAACTGAAGGAGACGCCGCGCTTCCTGGACCGGATCGTCGTGGGACTGGATCCAGTTAAGAGACATCAGCCCCTGCAAACCTCTGTACTTAATGCCGCAGCCCCCCTAAACATGTGTGCCGGCGTAGAAGATGACCCCCGACTTTTGAGAAGATTTTCAAGGGTCAAAAAGTCGTCTTATACGCCGGCAAATACGGTATCTAATGTTAAAAATGTCCCCTCCCCCTCCTAACTCTTATTCTGACTAGCCTGTGTAAGAAAGATATACTGTATACTTTCCCATTTTCATAGGCTAACTATGGTCCATCTGCTGTTGGTGCTTAGTCTTCTCCCCTGCAGCTGCTGGTTTTGTCTGGCCTGAAAAAAGGTATATGCATCTTTCCTATAGTGGTCATAGATGGATCTATAATTGGCCAGCTCAGCAGGGGCTAGCCGAACTTTGAACCATGTGTGGCCATAGCAGTTGAATAGAAGTTGCTAGCTTTTACGATATCGCCTATGGAGAATTTTGGGTACCATAGTTTTTATGTGATTTTACGGATGTGTGCTTTTTTTAAGGCTTGACATGTTTGCTATCCATTTACTCAATACAACTTAGTCTTTTATATTTTACCAAAAAATTGGGCAAACTTTTTTGTTTGCACTAAAATTCATTTTAGTGTATTTTTTCTTGAAACCGTGTTTGATAAATACAGTAGCTACACAAACATTGTGCAACATAAAAAATTGCATCTACCACCATTTTATTCCCCAGGGTTTCTGCTTTCAGAAAATATCTACTTTTGGGAAGGGTGGGGGGTTCAGTAATTTCGAGCAAAAAAAAAATACAGCTTTTAAATGTGTGTTTAGAAAAAAAAAAAAAATTGTAAAAATTGCCCTGATAGGCAGATCAAGTCTCTAGATCACACTACAAAAAAATCCCCAAAATACTTACCAGTAAAAAAAATTGCTAATAAAGTGTTAGTATATTCTTTTGGTGAAGTTGTACCTACAGGTGACCAATAATAAGGCTTACCTGTAGGTACTGTAAATCTCTTCCACACTTGTACTGTTTAGATGTTTATACAGGATGCAGCTGGTGACGTCACCAGTGCATGCGCTCTTCTTCAGAGCCCGTGCCACAGCTAAGGGTTCCCGCGTACATGCGCAGGAGTGACGTCATTGCGGCTCTGGCCATTCATATGGCAGGAGCCCATTAACCTGGAAGGAAGACCAGGGACTCGGGACAGCGCTGTGCTGGAGGGCTCTGTGTAAAGGCAAGTCTGTCATATTGTACTAGTATGCAGTGCAGAATTGTACATTATGACCTAAACCTGCAGGGGCCCATTGTTTGTTTTTTTTTTTCTGGCAGTTTACTACTGCTTTAGGAGGAGGAGGATATGCAGCAGGGGCATGAAATGACAACTCTCGAAAAAAAACAAGTTAAATTCATTCCATGTGTATTTCCCCTAATGATCCGCCACTGGGAAAGCTTTCAGACTGGAAATCTAATGCAGGAGAGCAACATCCTCTTTCCCTTTCATCTCTTAAAGCGGAGCTCCACCCAAAAGGGGAAGTTCAGCTTTAAGGACTGCTCCCCATTAAGGATTGGCACCTTTGGGGAGCGGGGGGAGTGGACACCCGAATTTGACAGGTATCTGCTCCCACTTCCGGTCCGATCGCCTAGATGGTCAGAAGCGGAAGGTGTCCTTCCTCCCTGTAGTCTTTGGGACATGTGACAGATCCCAGAAGACTACAGGGCCATTCACGGAGCGCAGAGCTACTCGCGCATTCACAGTCGGTACCCGGCTACTATCACAGCTGGGTGCTCACACTGAAGATGCCGGCCTCCTGGAATACAGGACGGCCAGTGAAACGGGCTGCGGGTGACACACCGGGGGACAGGTAAGTGGCTGTTCTTTAAAAGTCAGCAGCTACAGTTTTTGTTTTGTAGCTGCTAACTTATCTTTTGATAGGTTGAGTGGAACTCCGCTTTTAACTGATCCATATTTTTCCAATATATTCAAAAGGTTAACTGTAAAGAGTATAATCTGCTCTACACCCTAAAACTGCATGGATATGTATATTAAAATGTTCTTGATGAAACATTATAATAAAATTCTATACAGAACACTCAATACAAAAATCTTTTTTTCATAATGATATATCTGTTTGAATAAAAATTAAATTCCAAATGTTCAGATTTCTACAAGGGCCAGCAGTACAATACTTATTTGCTCTGTTAAAGCAAAACAAATGACTGTTGTATGCCATTAGTATTCTATACACTAAGCGGGCTGGATTAGCACAGGAATGTGCTCCACTTTCTTGTGTGATTCAATTTTTAAGCCATTCATTTCAATATGCTGAAATTGCCTTGGATCACGCCAAAAGTAGCGCTTGCACTACTTTTAAAGACACCCTGTAACAGGATCACGTGGTATTCTGATACCATGCCATCTAGTGCAGGCAAATGCACTGCATCTGTGATCTGTGTTTAGGGTATCGTTAGGATTCCACTGACAACCACAGATCTCACACCCAGTGCATTTTGAATGCTGTGTGGGAACACACAGGGAACGCCGTGTTCTGATGTGAACAGGCCCTAATAATAATAATAATGGGGGCGAAGCTTGTGCTGATGTCTTTACACCAACGGAGCTGGCAGTGGTTGTGTTTATATGCAATATATCCTTGTACACATGTAAGTAGATACACAATACGTATTACAATGAACTTGTGGGCTGCACTATGGAATGCTTGCTTATATCTTACATGGCTTTGAGTCCATTCACACTTGTATGACTTGCCATGTCATTTTGGGCTCCAAAGTCGCACCCCATGTTTCCCAATGAGTACTTTCAAATTTGAAAGTAGTTCCTGCACTACTTTGGTTCGACTTTAGTCCAGTGCCAGTAAATGTAAAGTCGGATCAAAGTCACACTGGAAATTGTGTGACTTTGGAGACGAGCTAATATAAAAGGAGCCTAAAGCACCAGTAAACTTGATAATTAAAACAAAAAAAAAAAACTTTTCCCTTGAAAGGCAATGTTATAATGTGCCAGTATGCATTATGTGGAACTTACCTTAAAAACAAAGCCCTCCAGCGACACGCTGTCACCACTGCAGAGGCTTCCATCTTCACCTGGTCTTTCTTCGGGGTTGGCAGGCTCCGGAGGCTTGAATGGCCGAGCCACAATGATGTCACTCCCATGCAATTTTTACGGCACAGCTCTGAGGGAACAGCACGGGCATGTCGTTGCTTCAGAGCTGCTACACAAGTTAAAATCTTCTAAATCAGGGGTCTCCAAACTTCCTAAGCAAAGGGCCTGTTTACTGTCCTTCAGGCTTTTGGGGGGCCAGACTATGGCTAGTGGGAGTAGAAAATGATGTTGCCAGTAGGGGAAATGGTGCTCCGTCATTGGTGTAAGAGCACCTCAAGGGCCAGATAAGGGCAAGCAAAGGGCCAGTTTTGGAGACCACTGTTCTAAATGGTGCACGCTTAGGAGATATTTACAGTACCTACAGGTAAGCCTTATTATAGGCTTACCTGTAGGTCAGGGGCGGACTGACAACTCATGGGGCCCCCGGGCAGTAGGGGATCATGGGGCCAGCGTCCTTGCCCACACTCAAAAAAGCCTATAAAAAAGGTACCAGGGGCATCTCATGGGGCCCCCTACTGACCTCGGGCAGTGCCTGAGTGCTCGAATGGTCAGTCCGCCCCTGCGGAAAAAAAAAAAAAGCAGTTTACTACCACTTTAATGTACATGGCGGAGCAGAGTTGCAGTGAATCCCTGCTGATGTACTCTGGGAGTTCCTGAGTGCCATTAAACAACCTGTTGCTGTGATATCCCATAGGATTTCAAGGCTGTGGATGGATGGATGAGTACTTATAGCATGTGGTTATAAGACCAGCTATAGTTTGGTCTTATTGCTTGGAAAAAAACTAATTGGTGGTGGTGTTGAATTCACAAGTTGAAACGTACAGCAAGATTTGCAATAGTGGTAGAACCCTCCTACACATAACTTGTTTTATCTGTGCATTTGCATATAGGCGGTGGACTTCCATCAAGATACATGTTTATTGATTTATTAGTTGAACTTTGTTTTTTATTTTTTGTGTCACTTTGGAATACTAGTGTCACCCACTCAAATTTCGTTTTTTGAATTTCATTCAAATTTATGATGTTTGTACACATATCACATTTGTTTTTAATAACATTATGATCCATTGTATTGGGATACACATAACCAAGACACCCCTAGTTTCGTAACACAGCGCAACATTTATACACTTTTTATTCTGGTTCAGAACTGGAATTATGTGTTTGTAAGTGCAGCTGTGGGAGTTTTGATTTTGATTTTTGTTTGATTCTGAGCACCAAGTGCAGTTTTTCTACCATTTACCTAATAGCTGGTTTGCAAATGTTGCAGCCATACAAACCTGTCCAAAAAGCCAAAAGGTCCATAATCGATAGTAAGCCCAACAATGCTCATGTTATCAGTATTTAACACTCCATGGCAAAATCCAACACACTGCCATTCAGCAACCAGATGTGCAGTCCTCCTTGTTATCTGGAAGGAAAATTGTATTATTAGGTACAACTAACCAGTCCCCTTCCACAGCAATGACATGCAGAATACACTTTTGAGTAAAGTAGACACCACAGGGTATTCAGTGAGGGATGTATTGTTCTATCCACACATCTCTCTGTTTAGCATTTTGGATGAAGCAGTGCTAAAAAAAAAAAAAAAAAAAAAAAAAAAAAAAAAAAAAACAACACGTACACAGCACTGACTAAATACATAAAATGATGGCTTGATGGGTTATCACAGGTTTCAGAAAGGACTGCATTAACAAAAAAAAAAAAAAAAAAAAAAAAAAAGAAGGGGGAGGAGGTGCCTTACTATAAGGAAAGATTACACCGCTTTCCTCTGATATAGGTTTTGCAAGAGTGGATTTGATACAACCCCAAGGAAGAAAGTATTGCAGGAATGCATGTACCACTTTTCTCCAGCTATTATAAAGTGATTAAACTAAAACAAAAAACAACCTGTGCCACAAGAACTGTGTGAAAAATTTTAAAGTGAATGTTGCTGTCACTTGATAAGAATCAAAAAGATTGACAAAAATAAAAATTTTTTTTAAAAAATCAGTGAAACAATAAAACAGCGCAAAACATGAAATGAATCAAAAATAATTGTACACAAATCATAATAAATTCTGTGGTTATAAAATAAAGTCCAAAACCACCAAAATGAAAAAAATATAAAAATTTATGTCCAAATACAAAAAGTGATGAAACCAAAAACAAAGAAAGTCCCCTTTAAACATGCAAATAGTGTTCCAAAATTTTTTTAGGATAAGTGTAATACAGAGAAAAGACTCCACGGATCCACACCTTCCTGTGAATACTGATGTATTCCGCACTCACCAAAGATGAGCATAAATTGCACTTTATGGATATAATATTATCCTCCAATTCCCAGGGAAAATTTCCTCTCCATAGCCTTCTCCATATACAAGAGCTTCCTTACATCCAACTTCAAAAGGGATTTCCCCCCATAACGATTTGTTACATAGGAAGACAGAGGAGAACCAATAGTGCAATATTGCAAAGACTTTTAATTGAATAAAATAGTGCTCAATCTACTCACATTATAACTTAAAGTAAGATGCCAATTGACTAAATCCTCCAAAAACAGACTTCCCAGTGTAAAACGGATTCCAGAAAGTAAACCAAAACTGGCAGCACCGGATATGACGTCACACGCTCAACATAGGAAACCGGAAGTACGTATGTCTAAATTTAATGTTTTTTTCATTTTGGTGGTTTGGACATTTATTTTATAACCATAGAATTTATTATGATTTGTATATTATTTTTGAATCATTTCATGTTTTGCACTGTTTTATTGTTTCACTGATTATAAAGTGATTGCATAATGAATATAAATTTACATTTAATAACCTCATTAATATTACTTCACCAGCAATTTATACTGACCAACTCAAAAAAAAAAAAAAATCCACAACTACTAAGAAATAAATGCAACCTTAAATACTAACCTAATAGCTAACAAACCAGACAACCCTTTCTATTCAATCTAATAATTAACCTAATTAAATTTTAATTCCTACAAAATTATTTGATTAGCCCAGCACTAATTAACTAATTGATCTACCCATGTGTAATCAGTAACCTATTAACTAACCTAATGTAACCTGATATAGTGTAATGTATTTATGCCTGACCTGCAAACATCTTCAGAATCAGCGACTTGAAGTCCTAGAGCCAGGGGGTAGCATAACAGCCTAGCAACTAGCATTTTCAGATGGTGGTCAGCAATAGCAGCCCCCTATATTTTTCTTAGGAAATGTTTACATAAAGCAAAACTCTGAAAAAAAGTGTAGTATATGTAAAAATCATTTTTTTTTTTTTTTTTGCTAAAACACGACTTAGAACCTTCAAACATTATATATTATTTAAACAAGGGCCCTAGGGAAGAAAATGGTGGATGTTGCATATTTTTTATGTCACATGATATATTTGTGCAACGGTATTTCAAAACTCAATTTTTTGAGGAAAAAAAATAAAATGAAATGAGTTTTAATGCACGGAAACACAATAGAATACCCAATTGTTTAGTAAAATATAAAATATGATGTTACACAGAGTAAATGGATACCTAAAATCTCACGCTTCCTGCGTACCCCAATGGAATGGCACCTAACTACATACCTAAAAATCTCCAGAGACCGCGCTTTAAAAGCCTTTACAGGTTACCAGTTTAAAATTACACAAGAGGTCTGGTGCAAGAATTATTGCTCTTGCTATACTATTCACAATGGTATCTCACACGTGTGCTGCACACACCGTTAACATATGCATGAACAACCTATGTATGTGTTTGCCTTTGTGCTCGAGCACAGGGGTGCTTAGAAAAAAAAAAATTATTTTTTTTTTATTTCTACACTGTTTCTTTAAAATTTTTTTTATCACTTTCATTGCTGTCACAAGAAATGCAAATATCCTGTCACAAGAAACATCCCTTGTGACAGCAACAGGTACTCTTTATAGAGATCTGGGGTCTATTAGACCACACACCTCTCCTCTGGCCTCCTAAACAGCCGATCAGAAGCAGATCAATCTGATCAGGAGCTTAACTGGCTGGCACCCAGGCAGTAAGCACAAAGCCGAGACCGGAAGTGAAGAAATACTCGTTGCTTCCAGTTTCTTAGACCATAGAGATCATCAGGGCCCTTCTGCTCCTTGATCTCTATGGTCAGCCGATGGAATCGCTGGCTGTAAATTCAGGTTCCCAAGTGGGACAAAGAGCCCAGGAAAGTGGAGGACTGCAGCAGAAGATGGCAGGAAGGTGGGACCCCCTCCCGCCACCTGTAAAAGTGATTCAGAGGCTAATTAGCTACTAGGATTGCCTTTACAAAAAAAAAAAAATCACTGGCCAAACAAAAATACCGGGATGAAGCCTGCAGCTGCAGGTATCATCTTGGTATAACCACTGCAACTGAAGGATGTACAGGGATGTCCTTGGGCAGCGATGGTTAAACCGCTGTTCATGTCAACAGTGTGAAAATTTCCCTTTACTCCCTGTCCTAACGACATCGGTCCCAATGGCACAACTGGGACCAGGGGGAAAATCCCACTCTTGACTGCTTTTTATTGGGGCCTATGCCCACACTAAGAGATTTCCCCACTATTCCGGTTTCAGCAATAATTGTCACTAGTGGGATTTCACCTAAGTTTCAGAAAAAGAAAACGTTTTGGCTGTATTTCTACTTCAACAAAAATAATAAACTCTAAATTGTGTTATATTTCAGCAATTTCCATCATCCTTTTCTAAAGTAAATATCTTTAAATGAGGTGTTGTAAATCAGGGTAAAGCAATGAAATCCCACTACCTCTCTGAAAAAAGCAGCATTTCTTTCTGTGTTGTTTCCTCCATACTTCTCCTGTATTTCTGGGTAGAACGTGCCAATGACATAATCCAGCATCTGAATTCGGATATCATTTCTGTTGACACTAGGACCTTGCCGGCCTGTAAATTCATCAACTGGCTTAAAAATCTCAAATGATCCAAACCTGCTCAAATAACAAAAACAAAGAAACACAAAATTTAGTAACATTTTAGACCCCATTCACACCTACCACAGTGGAAATGCATTTATTTGCACTTTGTGCAACAATCATAATAGCTTATTCACCTAAATGGACTGCCGTATGCATGCCAAAAAAAAAAAAGCTCCTGCAGCTTTTCGGATGTACAGCTTCGTGTGGTTTTTTTTGGTTCGCACAAAAATGGGCATTTGCTGTCCTCATTAGGGGTGCTGTTCAGAAGTAATGGCACAGCAAGTGAGACTTGTGCATCACATCTACATGCTTTCCTGGCACACACAGATGTGAATGCAGCCTTAATTAAGCTCCTGATTCCTACAGAATCCTATATTATTCAGTAAACAGGTCCATGGTACTGCTTAAGCACAATGTCAAAAGTGTTTTTGGAGCATGGGACGGGGATCTCAAATCTAAGAACAGAATAGCGGATGGTCAAAATGATAGTGTCCAAGATTGATCTCTGTAGAGGAGGCAGCTATTTCTGGGAATCAGTGGCATTACCACTTAAATTCTTTCACAAAGCCAAAATTATTATTACTACAGGAACTTATACAATAATCAAAAACAATTAAAGGAACATTTTTAATCAGAGTTTAGCATCAAGTCAATTAAACTCCTGGGATATTGATCTGGTCAGTTAAGTAGCAAAGGGGGTTGTTAATTTCATTAACACCAAAGCCGCTGAAACTGATTAGCAACAGGTACACTAGATGGGCAACAATGAGATGACCCCCAAAACAGGAATGGCTTTACAGGTGGAGGCCACTGCCATTTTTTCCCTACTCATCTTTTCTGACTGTTTTTCACAAGTTTTGCATTTGGCTAGGGTCAGTGTGACTACTGGTAACATGAGGTGATACCTGGACCCTACAGAGGTTGCACAGGCAGTCCAACTCCTCCAAGATGGCACATCAATATGTGCCATTGCCAGAAGGTTTGCTGTGTCCCCTAGCAGTCTCAAGAGCATGGAGGAGATTCCAGGAGACAGTCAGTTACTCTAGGAGAGCTGGACAGGGCCGTAGAAGGTCCTTAACCCATCAGCAGGACCAGTATCTGCTCCTTTGTGCAAGGAGGAACAGGGTGGGCACTGCCAGAGCCCTACAAAATGACCTCCAGCAGGCCACTGGTGTGAATGAATCTGACCAATCAGCAACAGACTTTATGAGGGTGGCCTGAGGGCCTGACGTCCTCTAGTGGGCCCTGTGCTCATTACCCAGCACCATAGAGCTCGATTGGCATTTGCCATTGAACACCAGAATTGGCAGGTCTGACACTGGTGCCCTTTGCTTTTCACAGAGGAGAGCAGGTTCACCCTGAGCACATGTGACAGACGTGAAAGGGTCTGGAGAAGCCGTGGAGAATGTTATGCTGCCTGTTTCATCGTTTAGCATGACTGTTTTGGTGGTGATTCAGTGATGGTCTGGGAAGGCATATCCATGATGGGACATACAGACCTCTACAGGCTAGACAATGGCACCCTGACTGCCATTAAGTATCGGGATGAAATCCTTGGACCCATTGTCAGACCCTACACCGGTGCAGTGGGTCCTGGATTCCTCCTGGTGCACATCAATGCCCGACCTCATGTGGCGAGAGTATGCAGGAAGTTCTTGGAGGATGAAGGAATTGATACCACTGAATGGCCCCCACGCTCGCCTGACCTAAATCCAATAGAACACCTCTGTGATATCATGTTTTGGTCCATCTAACGCCACCAAGTTGCACCTCGGACTGTCCTGGAGCTCAGTGATGTCTTTGTCCAGATCTGGGAGGAAATACCCCAGGACACCATCCGTCATCTCATTATGAGCATGCCTCAATGTTGTCAGGCATGCATACAAGCACGTGGGGGCCATACAAACTACTGAGTTCCAGTTTGAGTTGCTGCAATGAAATTTCAGCAAAATGGACTAGCCTGCTGCATCATTTTTTCACTTTGATTTTCGGGGGGGTCTTTGAATTCAGTCCTCTGTAGGTTGCTAATTTTCATTTCCATCAAACGATGGGACATCCTTACATTCCTAACACATTACCCAGTCCATAACAGTATAGATATCCAGCATGAGATTTTTCCCCATTGAGATCTGATGTGTTTTGAAAGTGTTCCTTTAATTTTTTTGAGTGGTGTATATAGCACTGTCAATTTATGCAATGGTTTACACACACACATATTGTACATTCACATCAGTCCCTAACCCTCAAGGGGCGCTCAATTTAAGGTCCCTAACTTACATTCATACATACACAAACTAGGGCTTATTTAGACAGGATCCAATTCAACTACCAGCATGTTTTTGGAGTATGGGAGGAAACCGGAGTACCCGAAGGAAACCCACGCAGACACAGGGAGAACATGCAAACTCCAGGCCGGTAGTGTCATAGTTGGGATATGAACCTTGAACCATAGTGCTGCTAGGTGGAAGTGCTAACCACTTAGCCACTGTACAAAATGATGGTACCAGTTTGACAACTGGAGCTCTTCATTATTTGGTTATTCTAAATACGGATGAGTTTTCCAACATTACAGCATTATTTGCCCTTGTAATGGCTCTAAAAGCTAGCTAGCATGCAATTCAAAATTTTCAACAACCATGCACAGCAAAATATCAGCTTAGGTGACTTAAACATTAGTAATCATGGGTCTTTGCTGATTTTAGTGGAAACACATCCATGATGAGGGAAATTGTTGTTAGGCTCCATGCACACTAGCGTTTTTTAAAACTCCTAGAAGCTAAATATGGTTATCCTATGTGTCCATGCACACTACTTTAGGCAAGTAGTGTTTTTTTCAGCTTCTAGGAGCAAAAGAAAATGTTTTTGTAGTTTTTTTGGAGCATTTTTCCAGCAGAAAAAAACACTAAACGCTTCTAAATGCTGCCAACAGCTTTTTCTAGCTTTTCTTTTTCTCTATATGTACTGTAAAAACACTAACACTCCTAAACGCTACTAAAAACAATATTACCAGCATTTTTCATCCAGCTTTGTTTGAGTTAAAAAAACAAAAACAAAACACTAGTGTGCATAAAGCCTAATACTTGAGTCCTACTGACCCAGAAAAAATACGCAGAGCATGAAAAATGGGAGAAATGCCAGGTGACTCTTAAGTACTGAAGCCAAGGGTTAGCGTGACAGCCAGACATCAAGCATTTTCAAAAAGAGTTCAGTAATAGCAGCCTTTATTGCTGTTGATGCCAGGTTTCTATTAACCACTTCAATACCAGACACTTTCACTCCCTTCCTGCCCAGGCCAATTTTCAGCTTTCAGTGCTATCTCAATCTGACTGACAATTGCACAGTCATGCAACACTGTACCCATATTACATTTTTATCATTTTTTTTCCACACAAATAGAGCTCTCTTTTTGTGGTATTTAATCGCCACTGGAATTTTTTGCTAAACAATGTAAAAAGACCAAAATTTTTGAAAAAAAAAGTGATTTTGTTTTTTGTTATAATGTTGCAAATATTATTTTCTCCATAAATGTAAGCCAAAATGTATTCTGCTACATTTCTTTGGTGAAAATAACCCATATCAGCGTATAATATTCAGTCTGAAGAAAAAGTTATAGTGTCCACAAACTATGCTCTTTTTTTTTTTAAATAGTATTTTTTTTTTGGGGGGGGGGGGGGGGGGGTCACAATTTTTTTGGAAAGCTAAAATTTAAAAAAAATTGTTTTTTCACAATTTTTAAATGTTTTTTTCTTTTACATACTGTTACAGTGTAGTACAGTGTCATCATATAACTGATGTGGCGGTGATCAAGCACACCGACTGGTGACCGTATGAGGAAAAAAAAAAATTTGGAAAATTTTAATTTGTTTTTCCTTTTCTATTACTTTTTTTTTTTTTTTTTTTAACATGCTGTGACCAGAGCAATACAGTGTTACCATAGAAATATTGTACTGCTCTTTTTACACACTATGATATTGCTTATACCAGTTAATTTCACTGGTATAAGCAACCACTTTTACAGAATGAAATGGATTAATTCAGTGTTTACTAATGCAGTTATCTTACCCTATCTGGAGAGGAGCCATTATCAGAGTGCTGACCCTTTGAGGGAGATTTGTGTGCGGTGGGAGCAGACCAGTGGAGAGGCTACATACTTGAAGGATCTGAGGGTGGGATCCCACAAAACACTTTGACCCGTACGGGTCGAAGTCCTAAAATGAGAGGCTCATCTAGCCGGTGGTCGGATTGTTTTTGTGTCAGCAGTTATCCACTGTCACACACTATCAGCACGAGTGTCATCTTCAATTGGATAAAGTGATATTATCCACATCATATTGGACTTTATGAGTACAGATCAGATGTTGTAGTTTGATCCTATTTATGTGTTGCTGTATGGCGTTTGCACAATATTGTACACTGATTTTATATATTTTGTGTTTCACTGATTGGGATTTTTTATTTTTGTACCTTTTAAGGAGGTACATGTCCTCTGGTATATGTTGTGTGGTATTTTAGGTATCTATTGCATGTATATGCAATACTTTTTTTGCATGTTTATGTTGTATACGTAATTTTCAGTAGTAGAGACATATATGTTTTTAATATCATTCACCATCACTTTTTGGGTTCAGCTAAAAAAAAAAAAAAAAAAAAAAAAAAAATCACATTAGTTTGTGGTACTGTATTAACTATTATATGCATGATTATCTCACAGATTTTTAGATATATTTATATTGTGGCACCAAGTGAGCATTATTTGTTTTTTTCACTGATTTTTTACACAGTGTGTCACTATGTATTTGCGGATGTATTTATTTTTGTGAGTAGCGCTACATTGTGATTTATTTATTTATATATCATAGGTATATGATTTAATGTTAGCAGCTTCTCTTGGTAGGTTACATTTCTTGAGATTAATAGCACAGGAGGTTCACACCACTACTAATGCGGTTAGCTGTGTTTGGCCACAGCTAATCACATGGTATAGATGGGCTGTGATTGGCCCTGTCTGTACTATGTGATCACTGTGACCAATCACAGAGATCAACACAATAGTACACAATGGATAGCATGAATGAACACCATCCATTGTGTATAATTGTCATATGATCTGCTTTGACTGGTCACACAGTGATCACATGGTACCAGCAGCGGCTGGTCCACTGATTGGTCATCTGCTCTGTCCAGTGGACATAGCGGGTGACAGATGGTGCCACATATTACGTCCACCCGGACCTAATTTCATTATCTATCAATATCAGCCTATAATCATTTCAAGAGTTGTAATCCGTGAGTTCTGCTTGACTAGTCCTAAAGGACAAATTTATAGGTACCAAGGTGTAAAAAGGCACCAACTCCAGGCCTTCACATATACTGAGCATTACAAACAATTATTCTTTTTATATGTACTCTAAAAAGAAATAAAATGTAACTACCTTAGGAAAGTAGGAGCAACCCTTAAAACTACAGTGCACTTTTCCTTCTTGGGGTTGCCATTGTAGTAGATATCTCTGATCACGGTGGAGTCTGAGGTGACACATGATGCAGCTCTTGTAGTTGGTATTCCAAGATGAAACATGGCTTCACTGCACAGGAACTCTCTAATAGTGGATCGCAGCACTTTTCTACCATCTGCTTGTCTAGGAAAATCAAATAAATAGTTTAGTAATTGCCCATCTCCCCTGACCTCCCATTAGCAGAACATTGCAATAGCTCCTACTATTCACTCCTTACTAGAGGGCCAGACAAGTCCACCTCAGGTCCATCTGGAGTACTTGGGCGTAATACTGGACGCCCAATCAGTGAAGATCTTTCTACCATTAAAAATAAATAAATAAAACAAAGACTACAGGTCTGGGCCATCCAGATGCAGTGTAGATCATCTCTTTTCACAAGCAGCACTTCTCAATTTGATACCAGAGATCATGGGTTGCTTCAGTCGCTAATAGTGTCACAGGGCTAACAACTAACTGATTCCCTTTCACTGGTAAACACAACAGATGCAAGCCTCCAAAGTTATAAAAGGGTTCTCTGCCCATCATCTGTAATAATCAGTGGCTGCAGGTGGAATTCAAGCGAGCGATCGATCAAGATGCTGCAGATCTGTGCAATGCACTTCGTTATTCTACAATCAGATCTTGGCACTGAAAGGTACCAAACGAGGCTACAGCCTGACAACAGCACAGCAGTAGAATGCATAAATCATCAAGGCAGGAGTCAGGCTGCAGTTCAAGAGGTAGAACACATTTTCCAGGCAGAAAATTAGGTTCCAGCTCTCTCAGCAGTTCAGATACCTGGAGTGGAAATATGAGGGTCCATTTACACCAGGTATGGTAGGACTGCGTAGGGCGGATATTCCATCACAGTCCCATCACACCTCCATCGCAAAAGAAGGCAAAATTCCTCATCTTAATGCAGCCAGAGTGGTCTTACTGCACACTGGCTGAGAGAACCCAAGAAAAAGTCACTGTGTGACATTTCCATAAAGTTTGCAAAAAACAAACAGTGCGATGTGCTGGTATCGGCACATCAACACTGCGCTGGGTGAGCGGGACCCACACCGCACACCAGCTGCTACGCTGCAATACAGCGGCTGGTGTAAAATGAGCTAACAGACTTTGAGTCAACCATACATCAAACCAGGAAAATGGTCCCTCCATTAGGAGGCATTCCCTCAGATCTATGGTGGGGCATACTATTAGTGAATATGGACTACGAGAGAACTCCCCATTGCCCTTGTAGTTCATTGAGAACAAGCTGTCAGCAGCGATGCATGATGGTTCTTCATTCACAGGAAACTGAATGAACGATGTGGCCATGTGCCATTTTCAAATTGTGGCAGTGTATGCAGGGAGAGGATCCCCCACCCCCTGTCATAGGAAGGGGGGGGGAGAGGCTGCAGCTGCTGGAATATGTCACAAGTTCCAAAAGTGAACTTATCCTTTCATCTCATACTTTTTCTTCAGGGTCCCCCAGGCTACCATCCTTTTATCCATATCCATTACTCCTAGAGATTTCTCTTCAGGGTCTAGACATGACGTGTTTCCCTTTTAGAAGATGGAGTTCCTGTTTGGAACCCCACAAGATCCACACTAGGGATCTTCAGCATCCAGTTCAATGACCTCTCAATGGATTAGCCAAATTATGTCCTAGGCCTATTCTCAGAGGACAGGAGCCCCAATGAACTACAGAAACTTTTTGGAACTCTTCTGGACACCTCAGATGTTGAATTTTTCCCAAATGCTGGGAAAAAAAAATAAATTTTTTCTACCAATCATGAAATCCTTTTCTGCAATAGAGTATTGAGGAGTATGGATTTATCCCATAATATTGGCTACATTTCTGGTTTTTACCTGTTGCCATGGTTAGTCCCCAAGTCAGCATTCCATATCTCTTGTAATACAATGGAGCACCTCCCCAGACTGGTCCCTAGTAGAGAACTGTCACATCTAGGACACCCAAAACATTGGACCACGGACCGGTCACCTCCCCAGATCAGTCCCTAGTCCACATCTAGAACACACCGAACATTGGAGCACAGGCAGGTCACCTCCCCTGATCAGTCCCTAGTCCGCATCTAGAACATGCCAAACTTTGGAACCACAGACAGGTCACCTCCCCTGATCGGTCCCCAGTCCGCATCTAGGACACGCCAAACACTGGAACACGGACAGGTCACCTCCCCTGATCGGTCCCCAGTCCGCATCTAGGATACGCCAAACACTGGAACACGGACAGGTCACCTCCCCTGATCGGTCCCCAGTCCGCATCTAGGATACACCAAACACTGGAGCGCGGCAGGTCACCTCCCCTGATCGGTCCCCAGTCCGCATCTAGGATACGCCAAACACTGGAACACGGACAGGTCACCTCCCCTGATGGGTCCCTAGTCCGCATCTAGGACACGCCAAACATTGGAGCACGGGCAGGTCACCTCCCCTGATGGGTCCCTAGTCCGCATCTAGGACACGCCAAACACTGGAACACAGACAGCTCACTTTCCCTGATGGGTCCCCAGTCCGCATCTAGGACACCCCAAACACTGGAACAGAGACAGGTCACTTTCCCTGATCAGTCCCCAGTCCACATCTAGGACACCCCAACACTGGAGCGCAGGCAGGTCACCTCCCCTGATCGGTCCCCAGTCCACCCCAAACATTGGAGCACACACAGGCAGGTCACCTCCCCTGATCGGTCCCTAGTACAGAACTGTCATATCTAGAAGAGCACAGACAGGTCACCTTCCTTAATGGGTCCCTCCTCCATGCAGTCCCCCTCCCGTACAGTAGGTGCCCCCCACACAGAAGGCCTGGGTTCCTTGCCTGGAGTAAGGGGTGAGTCCGGCTCCCTTCAGTTGGATCTCCCACCTCTCCCCTGCCGGGTTCAGTACCTCTCCCAGGTACATGGCGGCGCCATCCCCCAGCTGTCCGGCGAAGCTCCCGAACTGATGTCCGCAGTAGCAGTGTGCGGCGGGCTGTGATCCGGGGAGTAGCCGGTTCCCGCTGAAGTAATGAGCGGCCTCTTCCTCCTCCTCCACCCCGAGCTGCAGGCCGAGCAGATCCAGCGCCGGCTGGGACAGGGCCACCACCTTGGGGTTCTCTATGGGGGTGGGCCGGACCGGGGAGAAGCAGGCCCCGGGAACCTGGCGGGAGCGGACGGCCTCATCGTCCTGGCCCTCCCCGGCCTCCACTGGCAGACAGCGCAGCGCCCGGTTATCGAAGCGCAGAGAACGGAGGCTGGAGGCCGGGCCGGCGGAGCTCTGTACAGCGCGCTTCATCACAGCCACCAGTCCGGGGAGCAGAGCGTCCATTAGGGGGAGCCGCCGGCACCCAGAGATCCCAGCCGACAGTGCCAAGGAGGGGAAGGCACGCGTCAGCCTGCTGGCCATCCGCCTACCCAACACACAACCCAAACACCGAATCACATGACCCGGGAAATGCCACCGCCCAGCTGGCAATGATTCCAAGAGGAAGCCAATGATAGGAGAAGGCAACAGGCGTGTCCCAGGCTAGAAGGCGGGGAAAGGCGTGTCCTAGGCAGAGCATATGGAGGGAATAGGCGTGTCCAATGGCAGAAGGCGGGGATGGGGGGTGCCCTAGATAGAGATGAAAAAGGGGGATAGGCTTGTCTGAGGCTGTGACCAATTAAGATGTGCTAAAGCAGAACTCGGTCAAAACTTTAATTTTACCATGGAGTGGGTCTGTGCCCGCCCATGGGTTAAAGCAGAGTTCCAGTAAAAAAAAAAAAAAAAAAAAAACTAGCTGCTGACTAAAACACAAACAAAAAAAAACAGTCACTCACCTGTCCCTCAATCCAGGGTGTCCTCACTGAAGCTGGTTTCACCGGCCATCCCCAGAGCCGGCATCTTATGTGCGATAGCTTACGGCATCACAGCCAGGTGGCCACTGCACTGCACCTTGTGAATGGTCCTGTAGTCTTCTGGGACCTATCTCATGTCCAAGACGACTGGGGGGAGATAACATCCAATCATACAGACCAGAGGTCTCCAAACTGGGGCAGGATGTGGCCCTTTGCCTGCCTTTGTGCAGCCCTTGGGACACTAATTCACTAACACCAACAAAGGGGCACAATTCTTCCCAATGAGGGCGATTCCATCAGAGAGAACTGCTTCCTCGCCGCTGGGACACAGGACCAAGGTATTAAAGCTGGGCATTGCACCCAAGACTAGGCAACACTAGCTTAAGTGCAAAAACTTTTATATGCTTCAGAAAGAGGGGTAGTCCCCACATGAACAATAAACACAAATATTACACATATGGACAAAAATCCCACACTTATTAGGTAAAAGCTTGGTCACATTATCCTAAACAGCGTAAATGGTAAACAGTACCGCTAACGATGATCTAATTAGCTGTATGCTAATCAACAGCCAAGCATCTAGACCAGGGGTGGGCAAACGTTTTGACTTGAGGGCCGAAATGGGTTCATATATTGGACCCGGGGGCCGGACCAAGAGTAGATGAATGATGTGTATGTGTCATCCATAGTAAGTATAGTAATATTCCCCCATAGTAAGCATAGTAAATTCATCTAGTAATTCCCCCATATAGTAATTCATCCCCCCTATAGTAATTCATCCCTCATAGTAATTCATCCCCCATTTTAAATTCATCCCCCATCGTAATTCATCCCCCCTATAGTAATTCATCCCCCATATTAAGTCCCCAAAGTCCCCCCTGTGTCAATTCACTTACCTTTGCTCCGCGCGTTCCTCTCGCCGTGTTCCCCTGCCGTTCCGGTCTTCAGGGCGGACTGTGAGAGGAGCCTAGCTCCCTTCACGTTCGTCACGCTGCCCCGCCTACACACATCCTGACAGCCATCCTGACAGTATCGCTCCGCGGGCCGGATTAAAAGGTCCGCCGGGCCGTAGTTTGCCCATTGCTGATCTAGACAATGCTTTTTCATCAGGGATCCCATTGCTGCCAGCCCAGCAACAAGCCCACCTCTGAATACACAAAAGTCCATTACACGAGGTCAATCAGGTGTTTGCTTTCACTTGTATAATCTGTCCCTCATACAATATTCCAACAGTCTGAAAAAGTGAAAATTTATCACACATAGATTTCTTGAGGGAGATTGTTGATAAATACGTCTGTCCCAAGTGGAGGAGCTTCTCCAACCCCGTCTGCAGGAAGGCCCCATATTTCCTCTGATCATTAACCTGTACAGCATCAATACTACACCTTTCCATCCACTCCAGAAGGGAAACTGTATTGTCTTTACTCAGAGAATTAATCCAAGCCTCAATCTCAGTGTTCATCACATTGTTGGTCATCATTAGAGAATTATCTGCTCTCTCCATGGGCCTTATTCAGTGGGTAGAAGGCTAGCCCGTCACAAACATGTACACATATATGCAGCCTCATGGAAGACAACCCACTCCAGAGACGCAGCATATGTGTGTACACACAGTGGCAAGGGATGCAGTGTTCATCCCAAAAGTTGTTATTATTATACAGGATTTATATAGCGCCGACAGTTTGCTCAGCGCTGTACAATATAAAGGGAGACAATACAGTTCAATACAAGAGGATTAGGAGGGCCTGATCCTTGGAGCTTACAATCTAGGAGTAGCCAAATGCCCTAAAAACATGCTTTTTTTTAATGCAATTATGCATTATATAGGAAATGCGATAAATATTTAGGTTTTCCAACATTTAGAACTGAAATCTAGTGGTATTTTTTTACATTGTTTTATTGCATTTTTTCACAGGCTATAACAGGCCATAGATTATGCAATTTTTGTTCCTTCCATCATGGGAGGAAGAGAAAAATCACTCAATTCCTGCAGTGTTATTGTGTTGTGCCAGTAGGGAACCTTTCTAGCTAGCAGAACACAATTACTACTAGTAGCTATAGCCACCAGAAGTAATCACGTGTAAAAAATACAACAGGCTGGTTGTACCCAAGTCGATCAATGGGTCAACTTGGATACAACGAGGCTGCTGATATATGATCACACTTCAGCCAGTCCCTGCTGAAGCGGACGAGATTCAATCCATCTATGGCTGGCTTAACACTGTACCAGAGGAAGATTGTTCTAAGAAGGCACACAAACATTTGCTGATTTTTTAATTTATGGATCTGAACACTGCTCCGTTGTTTTAAATTTACACTGGTGCGTCAACATGCACTGCATTCAGATACATAGCCAAAAACCTGCATTTGAGGACATGCGTATAAACATACACCATTAAGAAAAAGAGAATTACAATGTTTATGCATTAAAAGTTGATCTATTTACTGATCATTAAAGTGTGACTAAACCCCCACAACAGTAAAATCAGTCTGTATATGCAGTAAAGCATGCTTGTTACACTCACTGTGAAACCTAAAACGTTGTGTAAGATGGATGTTTGATCCTGACTTTTCTGATCCTCTCCTTCTACTGTCCCCAATCCATCTTCTGATAGAACAGAGCCTTGGGAGCAAGCTGCACATTCTTAGAGTTTGTTTTTCTTTAGAAGGGTGCATGTGATCAGCACAGGGCCAATCAGTGAGGTCCAGACAGAGGATCAGAAGTTATGCAGCCTCATAGGACAATCAAGGGAAAATTAAAACTCCTACAAGCTTTAACCAGTGCTCTGCTGGACACTGATATAAGTCACAAGACTGCTATAACTGCTGATGAGAAAATGATATTTAGCAGTATATACATTGTTCAAATTATTAAAGCAACACTTTGAAAACACATCAGAGCTCAATGTGGAAAAATATCATGCTGGATATCTAAACTGATATGGACTGGGTAATGTGTTAGGAACATAAGGATGCCTCATTGTTTGAAGGATATGATTTTCATAAATCTTCAGAGGACTGAAAAAATGATGCAGCAGGCTTGTCCATTTTGCTGAAATGTCATTGCAGCAACTCAAAATGATACTCAGTAGTTTGAATTGCCCCCACGTGCTTGTATGCATGTCTGACAATGTCGGGGCATACTTCTGAGATGACGGATGGTGTCCTGGGGTATTTCCTCCCAGATCTGGACCAGGGCATTACTGAGCTCCTGGACAGTCTGATGGACCAAAACATGATATCCTAGAGGTGGTGTTCTATTGGATTTAGCTCAGGCGAGCGTTGGGGCCATTCAAAGGCATCGATTCCTTCATCCTCCAGGAACTGCATACTCTCGCTACGAGGCCGGGCGTAGGGTCTGACAACGAGTCCAAAGATTTCATCCCAATACCTAATGGCAGTCAGAGTGCCATTGTCTAGCCTGTAGAGGTCTGTGCGTCCCACCACCAAAACAGTCATGCTGAACGATCTTACAGGCAGCATAACGTTCTCCGTGGCTTCTCCAGACCCTTTCACGTCTGTCACGTGCTCAGAGTGAACCTGCTCTCATCTCTGTAAAGCACACGGCACCAGTGGCAGACCTGCCAATGCTGGTGTTCAATGGCAAATCCAATCAAGCTCTATGGTGCCCTCAGGCCACCCTCATGAAGTCTGTTTCTGATTGTGTGGTCAGAGACATTCACACCAGTGGCCTGCTGGAGGTCATTTTGTAGGGTTCTGGCAGTGCTCATCCTGTTCCTCCTTGCCCAATGGAGCAGATACCGGTCCTGCTGATGGGTTAAGGACCTTCTACAGCCCTGTCCAGCTCTCCTAGAGTACCTGCCTGTCTCCTGGAATCTCCTCTATGCTCTTGAGACTGTGCTGGGAGACACAGCAAACCTTCTGGCAATGGCACATATTGATGTGACATCCTGGAGAAGTTGGACTATCTGTGCAACCTCTGTAGACTGGGCATTGTCGTGTACCAGGAGGAACCCAGGACCCACTGCATCAGTGTAGGGTCTGACAATGGGTCCAAGGATTTCATCCACATACCTAGTGGCAGTCAGAGTGCCATTGTCTAGCCCAGTGTTTCTCAACCTTTTTTCAGTCAAGGCACCCTTTAAAATTATGGACAGTCTCAAGGCACCCTTTAAAATTATGGACAGTCTTGAGGCACCCCATTCTAAAATGGGGTGCCTCAAGACTGTCCATAATTTTAAAAAGGCACCCCATTCTACAATGTGAAGAACTATTCTAATAGTTTTTATACAACATTAGAGATGATTTATTCTTCCAAAGCAAATACACTTTTCAACACTGGTACTGACTAGTATTCCACAGTTTCTCTTTTCCCTCAGTTGTTCTCCATCACTGAGCTAATATGACCCCAGCACTGATGGAGAGGGTCAGGGGAGGGTCAAACTAGGATGCTGTGCAGGCAGCTGACATCCTCATCAACTGATGATGTCATTGGCTGTCAGGACGCTGGCGGCTAGAAAGTCGTAATGGTGCACAATGAAAACTTGTGGTTTTGTGTAATTAAAAGGCAGGCTTGTTCCACGAGCTGGCTTGTATACAAGTTTTGGG